CCATCTCTCATTTTCTCCCTGCTTCCTTTCTTCCCCATTCTTATTTTTTTCTATGAGGACTTCATAATCAGATGAGAATGGAGGCAAGGAAGCCGAAACCCAGGTTACGTGGCTATCCAAAATATTGGTACACCCAATTTCTGACCAACGCTGGGTTCTCTTGCCTGTGTGGTTACACCCAATCATTTGATTTGTACTTCTTTGTTTGCTATTTCACATGGAGCATGTTCACTGTGCACATCATAGCATAGGAAGGAACTATTCTACATGCTCACAGAAATCCCTGGGAAAAGCCTGGCTAATATTAAAGCTGTTTTGTTTTTCCACAGAATTCTTTTGAGACAGGGTCTTGCTCTGTTATCCAGGCTGGAGTGCAGTGGGTTTTTTTTTTTTTTTTTTTTTTTTTTGGTGCTTTTTGTAGAGTTGAGGTTTCACCATTTTGCCCAGGCTGGTCTCAAACTCCTGGGCTCAAGCAATCCACCCACCTTGGCCTCCCAAAGTACTGGGATTATAGGTGTGAGCCACTGCATCTGTCCCCATGGAACTCTTTTAAACTGACTTGCCCATTATGGGAAGTTAAGAGTTGCTTCTATGTCCTCACTTCCCATTCACAAACTGGAGCTCACCCCCACCTCCTTCTCAGAGCTACCATTGATCTTATAGTTGTAGATTCATCACTTTAGACTTCTTCAGAGTGTATGATTCTGTTGACCATCACTTCCTCCTTGAATCTCTCTTGTTCCTTGGTATGCAGTACACTAGACTTCCTGTTTCTCCTTTTAATTCACTAACACTACTCCTCCCAATTCCAAGGCGTCATCCCTGCTCCTTGTCTTCTGTGTTCTGATCATGAGACTTTTGCAGTATGACCTCTGGGGTTCTCATCTCATTTCTCTCCCTGTCTCAAAAAAGATTACTCCCTCTGCCTCTAACCTAGGCAAATTTTTGGAGCCTTGGTCCATGTTTTCACCCAGCTGTGGGCTCTTTGATCCTAGCTCTCTCACTGATGCCTCAAGTGGAACATACCCCAAATCTGCTTCTGTGATGATGACCTAGGAAATCATTCAACTAATAATCCTGAAAGCAGTCAGCCCTCAATTGGAGAAGGGGATGGAGGCATTATGGGTCCCATTGCTAATATATCTTACATATTAACCATATGTTTTACGTAAAGTCCTCCATGTTTAGTGGTCTTGGACTCTGAACTTAAAACTCCTCTTCCTGAGAATGTCTAGAAGGTCCATGTCACATGTTTTCCCGATGGCTCTTTCCTGCATAGATGGAAGACCTCTTTAATTGACCTGGCCTTACTGGCTCTTCCTTCAGTCTAGAGTCATCCTGTAGTTGGCCAATTGATTTTCCTAATGCACAGCCTGGAATATGTGGTTCTTCATCTTAGAAACCTTCAGTGACTCATTAGTGATGACTAGATGCCCCAATACAGTGCTTGGCTCTACAATCTTGCGTCTCTGTCCCAAATGTATTTCCTGTGCCATGCACTGTAGGCTCAGGTCCCCTGCAACCTTCACGCTCCAACCACAGCACAGTTCCACTCCTACCTGAGCCTGCCTTTAAACTGCTAATTCTGCTGCAGGGTTTCCTTTTGAATGTTGTTTTCTTAAAGTTCCAGTTCAAATTTCCATCTCCTGTGAGCCCGTCTTCGTTTTTTCCGTGTGGCATTAATTGCCTGTTCCTTTGAACTTCAGTGGTGTGTCTCTCACACCTCTTATCATGTCTCCAGTCATTATAATCTGTGTTCCTTACCAGTGTACACCTTCTAGAGAGACAAAAGGCCCTGTACCCAAGTTGATGATGAAGGAATGACTGGCTAAATGAACAAGTGAATTCACTCTTGGGGATTTTACTCCCCCTGAGCTCTCAAGTGCTGGAGGGACCCCTGAAGTAGTCATAGGTGCCACGATGGCACCATTCATACCCCTAAGGTTGTTAAAGCCCATTCATGTGAGACTTCTCTCTTCCCCTCTAAGAAGCCGCCTCCTTATTCTCCCTAAGTGGGGCCTTTGAGGAATTCTGCTCAGTCTGACTGACATGACAGAGAGATGGTGACCAGAGCAGTTGAGTTGCTGGTCTTGAGACCATCTGCCTGGGTGTCAGTCCCAGCTCTGCCCCATTTGTCGGTGAGTGATGTGCACCATGGGCAAGGTGTATGTTTGCTTTGTGCTTCAGTTTGTTCCCATTTTTAACTAGAGAGCCATGTAGTATCTGTCTCATAAGATTGTAGTAAGAATTAGAAAGATCATGATCTTTGTAAAGAGCCTGGCACACAGCAGGCATTCAGGAAATGAGTGTGAGCTGCCTGGGTAGGGTCCTGGGAGGTTCTTGTTAGCCTCTAGGTCAGGGCTTATTACCTATTACCTGGCAGCATCTGGGCTGGTTACTACCTACACAGAAATGTATTGTTTTTGTGGGGTCAGGGAGCATGGGGGTGGCTACGGAAGTTTTATAAATAACAGGAAATATAGTATGGGAGACTAGAATTGTGACTTCTCTTGAGAACATTAAATCTGAGGTTGTAAATGCAGTGGTTAAGAATATGGGCTTAGAAGCCATAGTTTGAATTAGCCCCATTCCTGCAGATGGCAAGCTCTGTGACCTCATACAAGTTACTTAGCCTTTCTGTTTCTCAACTTCTTATCTCTAATATAAAGATAATAAGCATTTCATAGCCTTCCAGGGATTGTTAAAAGACATAGATGTGTTGCTTTTGTCTTTTAGATGGATCTAGAAATCTTTTTTTGTTTTGTTTTGTTTTTTTAAAAAAAAAAGATAGAGTCTCGCTCTGTCACCCATGCTGGAAGTGCAGTGGCATGATTTTGGCTCACTATAACCTCTGCCTCCCAGGTTCAAGTGATTCTCCTGCCTCAGCCTCCCAAGTAGCTGGGACTACAGGCATGTGCCACCACACCTGGCTAGTTTTTTGTATTTTTAGTAGAGCCAGGGTTTCACCATGTTAGCCAGGATGGTCTCGATCTCCTGACCTCATGATCCACCTGCCTTGGCCTCCCAAAGTACTGGGATTACCGGTGTGAGCCACTGTGCCCTGCCAGGAATCTGTATTTTAAGAATCCCTCCAGCTGACTCTGGTAGCCACTAAAATTTGCTTACTAATACAGTTGATGTGTTCTGTATTCATATTACCTACATTTGGTTTCTATGTAAAATTTAAATATTGAGATGTGTTTCTAGGTACTTCAAATGATTTGTAAATTCTACACTTTGCTTAGTAGGGCTACTGTCTTCTAAGTATGTTTTCTTAAATAATAGATAATACTTGCTTTGGGTTTTGTTTTGTTTTTTTTTTTTTTGCTCTGGATATTCTGTTAAGATCCATGTGAACTTTGATCTATTAACTTGCTGGAGGAATACAGTTGATGTTGGGGTAAGGCTTAAGTATTTTTAGGAAAAATACCTTGGAAAGTTATGAAAGGTATAACTTTTATAACTTGGAAAGTTATAAAAAGCTTTTAAATGGATATGAAATAATGGGATTAATAAGATTGAATAATTATTTTGTAGTTTATGATATAATGACTTTATCTGCCTTTGGCTTCCATGATTTGAGAATCTCACTGTTTCTCTGCCTCATCCTTCCCCTTTACTGGGCTCCTCCTTGGTTTCTCAAGAATTTTTCTGTGTGTGGGAACTGTACTCCCTTCAGCCCCCCTGTTTTCCTTAAGGTTATTGGGAAGATCTTACCCTATTTATTTGTACAGATGATTACATTTTAACATTTGACAGAAGCCTTTGTATTCTAAGCTCACATATTCTGTCAGTCAAAGCTGCTGTTTTCTTTTATTCTTTTTGGTGTATCATTTATGGCTATATTGTGGCATCTTGTTTTTAAAAATACTTTGGACCTGAGTATTGATGATGACTGGCTTCAGAAGTTTTTCATCTTTTGAATGTTATTTTAGGGTATCTCTAATATGTCTTTTCACCAAGTTCTTGATAAAAGAGATTATTTTATTCTACAGGTCAGGCACTCTGCCTTTGAGTGGAATATTATAATGGAATGAAGTATTTGTATTTATGGAAGACAGATTTACTCTTTGAATTTTATCTTGAAAGGTTGTTTTTAAAAATTGTATACTTCAGGTGTACCCACATTAAATAGAGATTGAAAATGTCATTAGAGGCAAAATACATAGGTTATGTCGCTAAAGATACCTGGTATTTAACAAGGGTAGCTTGGATGCAGTTACTTACAAGATTATAGTCTACTTGTAATTGTGTAATGTACTCAGTCAAGATAATACAGATTTAGTGACATCCCTAATGGTGATGATTATTTAATTCCGTTATTGGAAAGAATGAAGATCAGACATCAAGAGTACTTTCTAAAGAAGAGTTTTTATGATTGCTATATGCTGTAGTTACAAATTTTACTTAACCATTATCAACATGCATAGCTAAAGGATTTCATCAATAGCTTTAAAACTTTGGATGTGGGCCGGGCGCGGTGGCTCAAGCCTGTAATCCCAGTACTTTGGGAGGCCGAGGCGGGTGGATCACGAGGTCGAAAGATCGAGACCATCCTGGTCAATACGGTGAAACCCCGTCTCTACTAAAAATACAAAAAAAAAAAATTAGCTGGGCATGGTGGCACGTGCCTGTAATCCCAGCTACTCAGGAAGCTGAGGCAGGAGAATTGCCTGAACCCAGGAGGCGGAGGTTGCGGTGAGCCGAGATCGCGCCATTGCACTCCAGCCTGGGTAACAAGAGCGAAACTCCGTCTCAAAAAAAAAAAAAAAAAAAACTTTGGATGTGGTTATTCCATGATCCTGTTGTTTTCATGATCATTCACTAGTGAACCCAAGAGCAGCACAATTTTCAGGCCCTACATACATGTTATAGGAGAGCAGCTGGAGAGAGCCTGAGCTTTCATTTCAGGAAATTTATATTGTCTTTGGATAATAAAAACATCAATGAGAATTGGCTCCCCTTTTGCTTCTCTAGTACATAAAATAAACCAAATGGGCTTTATTTTATCAAACATTTATTGATTGCACAATGAAACAGTTTCTGCTTTCAATAATAAACATAGGTTATTAAAAGAGTAGATACAAATGTCAGGAAGTAATTACAGTGCAGTGTGATAAGTTTAACAATATAGTTGTGGCAGCATGCAGAGGAGGGAGTGACTGGGTTTCAGGTGATGGTGGAATGTTGGCCAGGTAAGATTTTATGGACTATGTGATGGCAACATAGGGTTTCACAATGGATAAGAGGCTTCCAAGTGTACCAGAGGGAAATATACATATGCAGGGGCAAAAATGGAGCATGGCATATTCTAACAGTTAGAAATTTATATAAGAGTGTAAAGTTCAAGAGATGGGTAAGTAGTTAGGAGGTGAGGCCAGAAAGGTAGGCAAGTTCTAGGGCCTTTGAGGCCATGGAAGAAAATGTTGGCTTTACCTTATGATGGTTGTGTTGGAGCTCGTGGCACGTTTACAGAGCTTGACTACTCCTTTGTGTATTTTCTCTAGAAGATATAGATTATTTTTTTTTGAAGATATAGACTCTTATCCATCATTTCAGAAAATTACATTTTATTTTTTGAATCACAAAAGATGTAAGAAAAAAATACCATGTTAAATAAGTATAAGCAGATCATCATCCTTTGAAAAATCTCCCAATATGGATGTTACTGATTATGGGTCAGCAATTACATCTTTGTATGTATCAAGAATAGCAATTCTATTTAAAACATCTGTAGACCATAGACTGTAGGGTGTATTGTGGGAGATACCAAGAAAACCTGGCATGTCTGCCTCTCAAGAAGCTTTAACATTTTTTAGGGGTGTTAACTAGAAAAGGGGAGTCTGCATTGAGAACCCTATCACACACCCAAACAGAAGAAGTAATTATTTTTAACCGGAGGGAGGGGCAGGGGTGTAGGGATTGTGGCCCAGGAAGGCTTTGGTGAGTAGGTGGCATGTTTAACCATCATCAGAGTATTTGCTGGACAGAAGCAGAATTCCAAAGAATAGTAACATAGCATTCTCATACTTGAATTATATACACCTAAGGGATAAGAAAAGTGGTTTAATAATGGTGCTTGTCCCTGCGATGGTGTATTGTTGTAATGTGAAAGAAGCTGTTTGTAATGGTAAGGAGAAAATTCTTTACCCAGGATTTCAGAGGACTTGCTGACCCAGTTCAGTTCCTCAGACTCTTCAAATTTGCCCTTTGAACCCCTGGCTGCAGTTTTCAACAGTGAACTTCAGGAGTTGGCCTTTTTTTTTTTTTTTTTTTTTTTTAAATCAGCACATATCTACATTTAAGGGGCACAAAAGCAGTAGTGTTGTGTGAATTGTGTAAAAGAATGTGAGAAGGTGTTTGGAGGGGAGGTTTGCAGGGATATGCACATCTCTTTAATCTTTTCCAGTGTTAGTGAATGCTCTTGAAGTAGTGACCTCTAGTGGCCATTTGTATCCTGTTGCTTTTTCTTAGTAATGGTTCATTCAGCTTATGAATACATCTATGTGGAGTTAAAATTTATATAATCTTTTCTTTATACCAGGATGGTAAAATGCAAGAGGGCATTTGTCCCAATCTTTTTTATTGGTTAAATTTGATTTCCACATTATCTACTGAAGTCTCAGCAATAAATATAAGTTAACCATATGTACAGTTGTTAGCCTAAGGTTATATTGTCTGTCTGACTGCTCTGATTCTCTTGGCTTGATGCTATGGTCTTTCTCTCTCGCATACATGGTAGTCTTTCTGTGAATTTTTTACATAAGAATATGTATATTAAGGGATCCATACAAATGTTAGTTGCTGCCAAAAAGAGAGTTGTTTCTTTAGCAATAAACAGTTGATTTTGCATTCTGCAGTCAGTCTTATTGTTGGTTTGACTGTGAGTATATGGAACTCTGGCAAAATGAAATGGAGCAAAACACACAAAGAAGACAGCCACGACAACAAATACTTTGCCTTCCACCTTTTTGTTGTGTTTTCTGTCCTTACTTTTGGACTTTTTATAAGAATCGTATACTTTTTTTGCAATAACCACATAAAACACCAGCATTAGGACGAAAACAGTCCAGAAAATAAACTGGGATATGTTATTTACCATTTGATGCCATTTCAGCCCCAGAGGCCCCTTTAAGGAGGCACACTTTTTCACAGACGATGGTGTTGCTTCCTTGTTGCTCAAGATAATATTTGGCAGAGAGATGAGGAACAAAGAACACCAGGTGAAGATTGAGACAGTTTTTGCAAAAACAGTTTTTTTAAGGAAAACATTTCTCAAAGGTCTACTGATCTTGAGGAATCTGTCAAAGGCTATGAAACCTAACAGCACGATGCCCACATACATGGTCTCATAAAATATCACCGAAGAGAAACGACACACAAAACCTCTGAGCTGCCAGGGTGCCAGGTGTGAGTCAGAGAGGATTTTGAAAGGAAGCATGAGTGTCATTATCAAGTCAGCCACCAAAGTGTTTTTGAGGTAGACGATGAAGGTGGAGGAGCTGGGGATGTGGACAAACACCCACAGAGCCAAAGTGTTCAACAGGATGCCGGTGAAGAAAACCACTGTATAGAGAGCTGGAAATACCAGCCGTACTATCCGAGTGTCTCTGGGGCACCGCTCAGACCCGTTGAAGCCTTGCATCACTGTGGTGTTCATTGTTTCCAATGTCACCTGTTACAAACAAACATTTATACAAACAAAGGAAAACAAAAAACCCTTCATGATTTGCAAATGCTTTTTTTTAAAAACAGACTTTATGTTCATAACATATTAACATGCTGCATTTATCCAACACTTTGAATAGATGTGTTGAGAAGGAAAATACTGTTTCTGGCTAGAATTTTTACAGCATACAATATATTTTTGGTACTTTTAACAGCACCATTACTTTCACATCCTTGTGAAATCCAAAGAACAGGTTCTACTCTTAGCCATAGAAGAAAACTGTTTAAGAGACAGTAATACATAATTATTACTAATACGTCAGATTGCTGTGAATTATGTAATTCCTTATGCTCATAAACTATGGTTTGAAGATTATTAACTTTAAAGCACTGTTTTTCCCCTTAAGCATATTCTACCTTTTATATAAGCAAACACACTCATAATAAAAAATTAAAATTCACCTTCGGGAAGATACTCAGTTCTCTGTGTCGTCTTATTGCAGCAGTCATTAGTTCAGCTCACAAAAGAGAGTGTGAAGCAAGTGTTCTGCTTTCTTATAGTGGATTTCCTTCCTTATTTTTACTTTTGTAATGTGACCCATTAGAACATCTTCATATTCAAACCTTTGGGGGATTTGCTAATACGCTCTTTTAGTCCAGACTTTCATACTGTAAATCTGTGACTTGAATAAAGAAGCTTATTTGAAATTATCTTTAAATTTTCTCATCATAACTTTCTTGAAGTTTATCTTCTTGATCTGCATGTTTAGTGAACTTTTTGAGTGCTTCTTGTATATAGTGGGAGACAGAAAGATGAAGAAAGTAGTCCCAAATTACAATCAAGCAGGAGAGTAAGACTTTAAAATTGCACAGAATCATCTTCTGCATCCTCGTAAACTGGATTTTCCAGTGATTTGTGTTGAGGGGGATGATATGTTTATTTTTGTAGATATTTGTCTTAGTCTTCTGGTTTTGGGATCTGAGAGTTAACATGATGTTTTCTAACAGTTGAAGACTATTGGACCCAGCTGTTTGGAGTTAAAATCCCATTCCACCAATTAATTGAGATTAGATTATAGACAAATGATTAAACAGCTCTGTGTCTCAATTTCCTCATCTGTGTAATGGGTTTGAAAATAGAATCTATCTCACCCTGTTATTAAGAATGAATTGATTGCCTGGAGTAGTGCTTGACATATAGGAAGTATTAAAAACTGTTAGCCACTCATTGCCATGGGAGTGATTGCAAATCCAGATACTATGCTCTTTCACTTGTTAGAGAGCCATTTTTGGAAATCTTTTCTGTATATGGTGTATTTTGGTGCAAAAGACTTAAGGAATTTCATCAATCAACATTGGGCCAATATCTATAAATTTTTTTTTCTTTAACTCTCTTCAAGTTTGAAAATATGTAATGCTGCTTTTGCATAGAGAAAGTTGTTGTCCATGGCAGACATCTGCTTGCCAGGTAGGCATAGGAAAAGCAGAAATTAGGAGATCTTTTGGAGGATGTGGAGTTCTCCATGGTGAGTTTCATTTCATGTTTTGTGCCACAATGTTACCATAGAGTTAGACGAGACTGTAGTGTTGGTTGATCATGAAGTTTTTGGGTGACTTGGCTTTGGATTCTGAGAGTAAAAATGTAATGCCCCTGGACATTTTAAAATATGAGGCAATACGATGTCTGATAGTTTTGATTAGACTACCCAATGATGGCACAGTTTGAAAAATTACTCTTTGACAAATAAATTAATCCTGGGAGTATAGATTTAAGATTTCATTAAGGTAACGGAGCATACATGTATATCTTATAAACATATATCTCTTTGTTTGCTCAGCAGAGGCAAACAAAAATGCTTTATTTCTTAAGTAGAGAAATTTAATCTATAAAATTAATTGTAAATTTCTCTGTAGCCCCAAATTTGTAATCTAAAGGAAGATCTAGAATAGTTTTCCTTTAAACAAGAGAAATTCTCTGCAGGATAATTTCATAATCTGAAAACTGGAAATCACTCAGATTTCAAAACAGTAAAGTGTGGGAAACTTTCCAAAGAGGAACTGACTTATGGTGCCTGTTTCTAGAGTTTTGAAAATATATTCCTTTAAATGTGGTAGATGTCAAAGTGTTCAATCATAGTAAATATCCAATAGATCATTCATTTCTGTATGCTCATCGCTTCTTATGTGTTAGCTGATTTTTCCTTAGTTCACAGCAGTACTCGTGCCTGCCAGGGAGGGCATAGCAGAGAAGCTGCTCAGCAGAATGGTGAGAAGCCAGAGTGCCTGGGCGCATTTCCTTTTTCCAATTATTTATTTTCTTGTGACCTTAGGCAGGCTGCATATGCTCACTATGAAATGGTTGCCCTACTTTTACAATAAAAATAATAGTATTTGCTTCACAGTGTTGTTACAAGAATAAAATGAATGAACATTCAACAGTGCTTAGAATAATGTCTGTCATATGGTAGGTATCATGTAAGTTTCTTGTTAAAATGAAATTGAAAGAAAATTGGAATGTTGTGCATACATATGGTGATGTCTCACAAAAGGAGAGAAGAATCAAAGAAGTTACAGTGAAAGATCCCAGAAGTTAGGAGCCTATCAAGTGGGAATAAACTAAACATTTAAAATCCTGTGGGACTCTAAGAAAATGTAGTTAAAATCAGTAAAGTCACACCAACTATACTGTTTTAAGTGATTATTTAATCCTTACAACAATCCCCAGGGATTGGTCCTATTTTTAGAGTCGAGAAAAATTGAAATGCAGACATTAAGCCATTTTGCCAAAATCATGCAACCTAAACCTGCTGCAAAGTCACACACTTTGTCTGGTTTCAGAGCCCATGGTTGGAACCTGCCTCACTCTCCTGCCTCCCAGTAAGCCCTAGATAGGGTGACAGTAGAATTGTTTGGCAAATTCTGGAGTTCGTGAGCTGGAAGTTCCTGATGTCGGAGAAGGGAACAGTCAGCCACAAAGTTTAGCGGACTTTTGAAACTTTCTGCCCATGTAAATTGGATCAAAGCAGAGTGATCAGAAAGGAACCAAAGAAGATAAAATGCAAGGTCACAGAAACCAGTCTCTAGCCATAGGAAGAAACTGCTATTTCCATTTGTCGTCTCCTTTGGGATTTCTCAGTTGGATCAAAATTGACCATCCAGTGCCCAGTGCCAATAAATAATATGTGAAAAGATGAGGAAGTATTTGCCTTCATTTAGGATGAAAATTGAAGTGGGAACTCCTATACTTCTTTATTCATAGAAAAGACTTTTACTTCCCATCAAAGTATACCACAGTACTTTCTCAGATTATGTGAAAATTCTATACAAGACTAAAAGTGGTAATAAGAAGCTAAAATAAGTTACACTTTTTATTAATAAATGTAGCAATCTGTTTTTCCTAAATAATATTAGAAAATCTCTAAATGTAACTAGAAATAGGCAATAAATTCACTGCTATTTGAAACGTTTACCATTTCACATTTTTATTATAAAAGGAAATCATATGCTTAAAAATTGAAATACAAACATATAGTAGAAAGTGAAAGTTAATATTCTTATATGTACATACCAATGTGTATGTGTACAAATATATTTACATTTATTTATATATTGGATTTTTGTTTCATTCCATGTTAGTACATGTAGACTGACCTGATTTTTTTTTTAACTTTATTTTAGTTTTAGGGGTACATGTGCTGATTTGCTATGTAGGTAGATTGTGTGTTGTAGGGGTTTGGTGTACAGATTATTTTGTCACCCAAGTAATAAGCATAGTACTGGATAGGTAGCATTTCAGTCCTTACCCTCTCCCACCCACCACCCTCAGCGTAGGCCCTGATGTATGTTGTTTCCTTCTTTGTGTCCCTATGAATTCAATGTTTAGCTCCCACTTAGAGGTGACAACATGTGGTATTTGGTTTCCTGTTCCTGTGTTAGTTTGCTTAGAATAATGGCTTCCAGGTTTATCCATGTTGTTGCAAAGGACACAATCTCTTTCTTTTGCTTGGCTGCATAGTATTCCATGGTGTATATGTACCACATTTTCTTTATCCAGTCTATCAATCATGGGAATGTAGGATGATTCCATGTCTTTGCTGTTTTGAATAGTGCTGTGATGCACATACACATGCATGTGTCTCTATGATAGGACGATGTCTATTCTTTTATGTATATACCCAAACATGTGATGACTGGGTCAAATGGTAATTCTGTTTTAAGTCCTTTGAGAAAAGCCAGACTGCTTTCCTCAGTGGCTGAACCGATTTACTTTCCTACCAGTAGTGTGTAAGTGTTCCCTTCTGTCCACAACCTCACCAGTATTTGTTATTTTTTAACTTTACATAGTAGCCATTCTTACTGGTGTGAGATGGCATCTCATTGTGGTGTTGATCTGTATTTCTCTAGTGACATGCCAATCAAATTTAAAATCAGTTATGCTACACAAATTTACCATAGTTAAGCTGCTACTGATGGGTGTGTAGTTTGTTTGCAATAGTAGTTTTTCTCTATTAAAAACAATGCTATAAGCCAGGTGTGGTGGCTCACACCTATAATCCCAGCACTTTGGGAGGCTGAGGTGTGTGGTCACAAGGTCAGGAGATTGAGACCATCCTGGCCAACATAGTGAAACCCTGTCTACTAAAAATACAAAAATTAGCTGGGAATGGTGGTGCGCACCTGTAGTCCTAGCTACTTGGGAGGCTGAGGAAGGAGAATCGCTTGAACCCGGGAGCTGGAGGTTGCAGTGAGCTGAGATTGTGCCCCTGCACTCCAGCCTGGTGACAGAGCAAGACTCCTTCTCAAACAAACAAACAAACAAACAAGTCGGGTGTGGTGACTTATACCTATAATCCCAGCACTTTGGGAGGCCGATGCGGGTGAATCACAAGGTCAGGAGTTTGAGACCAGCCTGGCCAAGATGGTGAAACCCTATTTCTACTAAAAATACAAAAATTAGCCAGGCATGGTGGTGGGTGCCTGTAATCCTAGCTATTCAGGAGGCTGAGGCAGAGAATTGCTTGAATGCTGGAGGCAGATGTGGCAGTGAGTCAAGATTGTGCCACTTCACTCCAGTCTGGGTGACAGAGTGAGACTCTGTATCAAAAAAACAAAAAAAAAAACAAAAAACAAACAACAAAAAAAAAACGCCACAAAAACCTTTTAAATTAATTTGTAAGCCTATAGGTGAAAAAGCCATGTCACATAAATATAAATTTATTTGCTTATTGCTGATGTCATATGTTCTTTCATATTTTTTTGCCATTTGTACTTCTCCTGGAAATTGCTTTTTCATGCTCTTGCCCCTTTAAAAGAAAAACAGGCGATTTCTCACTACCTGTTGATTATTAGGTGTGTTTACACATCTTCAGTTCCCACTGGCAGCAGTGTAATCACACCTTTGTTGGCAGTGAACAGTGATCAGCTATTTTCAGTGCAAAGTGGCTGAAATACCTGGATACAAAAAAAAGGGTTAGTTTTTTTACAAAAGGTCCCCCCACCCCCTGTTTTTAAAGTAGTCCAGGGAGAGGGAGATTGATTGATTGATCGATTGATTGATTTATGAGATGGAGTCTCACTATGTCGCCTGGGCTGGAGTGCAGTGGCATGATCTCACCTCACTGTAAACTCCAGGCTCAGGCAATTTTCCTGCCTCAGCCTCCCGAGTTGCTGGGATCACAAGTGTCCGCCACTATGCCCAGCTAATTTTTATATTTTTAGTAGAGTCAGGGCTTCACCATGTTGGCCAGGCTGGTCTCAAACTCCTGGCATCAGGTGATCCACCTGCTTTGGCCTCCCAAAGTGTTGGGATTACAGGCGTGGGCCACTGTGTCAGGCCCCCCTCCCCCTCCTCTTCCTCTCCCCTCCCCCTCCTTCCCCTCCCCCTCCCCCTCCCCCTCCCTCTCCCTCTTCCCCTCCCTCTTCTCCTCCCCTTCCCCCTCCTCTTCCCCTTCCCCTCCCCCTCCTTCTTTCTTCTTTCTTTTCTTCTTTCTACTTTTTTCTTCTTTTTTTTAAAGAATCAGTTAGAAAATACTTAGGTTTTTGTGAGCCATGCAGTCTCCATCATAGCAACTCAGCTCTGTCATAGCATGAAAGCAGCCGTGGATAAAACCCACATAGTTTTGTTCTAATAAAACCTTATTTATGGACATTGCAACTTGAATTTCATATAAATTTCATTTGGCGTGAAATTCTATTCTTTTGATTTTTTTTCTTTACAAACATTTGAAAAGGGGTATACGTGATATTTGATACAAGTATAAAATGTGTAATGATCAAATCAGGGTAATTGGGCATCCCTCACTGCAGGCATTCTTTTCTTTCTGTTAGGAACCACTCTTTGAGTTACTTTGAAATATACAATACATAATTTTAAACTGTAGTCATCCTGCTGTGCTATTGAACAGTAGGTCTTAATCCTTCTTGCTAACTGTATTTTTGTACTCATTTACCAGCCACTCTTTATCCTCTCTTTCCCCATGACTCTCTGGTAACCATCGTTCTACTCCCATAAATATGTACAATTATTATGTATCCATAACAATTACAAACCAAAAAAATGAAAACAAAAGATTTCTAAATGTCAAGCTGTACAAAAATAGGCAGTGGGCTGGGAATTGGTCTGTGGGCTATAGTTTGCCAACACCCTGCTTTAGACCTTTTGTGTAAGAAACCACTGAGAAAAACTGCCAGTAACTGATACCTTTAAGACCTGTAAGCCACTAAGGCTTTGGGCAAGACTACATTTTATTGTCTCATCTTTTGAACTCTTCACATCTTGACCTGAGTCTGCAGAATTTGGCTTCATTTAAAAAAAATAAAGCACCATGAAATGTGGGGTTATGATGTATATTTATATGCCAAAAACTAGAGATAATGGCATGTTTTATGTATAATGAGCATTCCATAAATACTAACTCTCAGACTGTCTTGAATGGGTTTAGTTTGATGTAAGAATATATGATGTCTAAGGTTCTTCAATAAAGAAATCCCAGCAAAGCATGATTTTAGAGTTTTATGTAAAATTTTCATGTATACACACACAAACACACTCACACACACACACACACACACAGATATATATGTGTATATATGTATATATATATGTGTGTGTGTGTGTGTGTATATATATATTCCCATAAAACAGATAATTCCAAATACTTTGCAGTTATTTTTACTAAAATACCATATTACTATTAGCATTTCTGTTTATTTCCTCTCTTTTGGAAATTGCCATCTCAGTGACAAAGATTTTTTGGGTAGTTGGTGTCCACTCTGCAGTCTCCCAACATCTGCCCTTCAAGACACTGTGAAGTAGTCAGTTTCAATGCATGCTGTACCACTGACTTAGTTGGGTGAAGGGACGAGTCTGCCTTTTATTTTTGTTACATGCAAATTAAGAAGGTTAGATTAGTTGATCTTTAGATTATCTTTCTACCCCAAATATCCTGGTATTCTTATAGAACATACAAATTTATGCATATGATTTTAGAGTGAACTGTATTAGTCTACATAGCAAAGCAAAAATTGCTATTGCTGTTTATCCCAGCAGTGTATAGGGTATATACTGTATGAACTATCTCTGCCTCTCCATTGACACTAAGTGCTTACTTTTAGTGGTGTTAGAGAAGGAAATGTGGCTGCTTGGAAGTAAATAACACTTAGTAGTTAACTGAGTTCAGCTTCGTACTGAAATAGAACTCAGCAGAGGTTGTAGAGGATTTGGAGAAAAGTGATTATTATTAAAATTCAGTGAGCTTTATACAACAATATACCCTTTTATTTCTTCTGGCATTATATTTTGGTATTGATCTCTGTTTCTCCTTCTGTTTGAGAATCACCTCTGTGGATCATATAAGATTGAGATAAGTAATGTAAACTTATTATATGTTTTGTTTACATTAAAATAGCAAATATGCCTTGTGTAGAATTAGACTGCATGTTATAAGTCTGACCTCTTACATTTGAACTTACTGAAATGAGATGTCATCTTCAGAAGAGACTGCACAATAACATGTAATAAAAGTGTTGGCATTAATTCTTTCTTAAATGGATTTGATGTACTTGTATATGGTGAGTCATGGTATCTAATATCTTTGAACAAAGAAATTACAACAAAGAGTGATTTAGAGTTTAATGTAAATTTTTTATACACACCAATACAAGCAAGTAATTGCAAACAGTTCATTCACTTTCTTCTAAGTAGTTACGTTGTGCAATTTTGTAATCATATTTAATTTTTTTCAATAAGGTAAAATGTTCATTAACCCAATTAGCAGCTATTTTCTTGAAGCTAGTTAATAAAGGTAAGTGTCAGTGATGGTATTATTGAAGTTGTAAAAAATTAGTAAAACCAGTTTCTCTAGAATTAAGGAAATGTTTAGTGTTAGAATATCATAAAAGTAACTCTCCTTATTTTAATGACTGATATTTCTTATCTTTATTGTAAAGATCTTCTTTAGATATCTTCTTAATAAACATAAAATTAAGTCCAATCAAATACAGTTTCAGTTAGTTTAAATCCCTTATGTTTTTGTTAAGAATTAAAAGTTAATAGTTACTATTCTTTGTGTATCGCACTTACTTAAATTTTTATAAATATCCCAGTAGGTCATGATTTGGTTAGGGGACTAGAATATATATGTACATTTTAAGTAATCATTTTTGGTAACAAGATTATATCCAATTGATCATTCTCCCTTAGTTGATTATGAAAAAATAAAATTATGAGTATTAATATATTTAAAAAATTACAGAAGATACTATATGATTACTCATTTTGGCAAAACTCTTCAAAACATGAATACTGCATAGTTTTGCATGCCGCATGGCAATTGGATGCCATTTGTTTTACTACTGTACAGCTACAGTTTAGATTATTTTTCTGTATTTTAAGATAGCTTTTCATACTGGAAAGGTAAATGAAAATTGCTTTTGTAATCCTCTGTTACTTGTTTTAAGAGTCATTGTTATTAACTCAGTTGCTTCTTCGTCAGTTAATATTTTTACATAGCGCTTTGCTTTAATGAGTTCTGAACACCGAGAGATTGAAATATTTTCTCAGTTAATTTGTTTACATTGGAGTCTCTTCATTTAGGTCACCACCATGCTGGTTTTTTTCCCTGTTGTTCTGGGATAAAGATGCTGGTGAATTGGGGCACTTCAGCATACTTGTCAAGGAATTTCTGAAGGACTTGCAAAGGAAAAAATAGATGAATGGATCCAGGCATGCATTTAAGGAAGTTAACCACAGAGTGCTCTCTTTCACATAGAACAGAGTATTTTCAGCGGCGCAGTCAAAGACATCCCGGGTTTGGCTCAGGGTGTAAGGAATTCGGGCAAAATGGAAAGGAACGAAACAAATAAAGAATACAGCAATGATAATGAAAACTTTAACGTTCACCTTTTTCCTGGGGACTTTACCTACACCCCTTGTTCTTACATATGACCGGTATAGTTCGTTTGTAATGAGTGTATAACATACAATGACAATTAAGAAATTAATCCAGAAAATGACTTGACAGATGTAATTGACTATTTCATGCCAGACTAGACCAAACTCTGATTTAAGGAAAGAGCATTTCTGCACATTCTTGTCTCTTGGCCGCCTGTTGGTCAGAATCATGTTAGGCAAAGAGAGTAAGAACATGAATGCCCAGATGACAACAGAGAGAATCTTAGCCCCCAAGAGATTTTTGGGGTTGGATGTTTTAAATGGCCTGGTGGTCTTCTGGTAGCGATCGATGGTTATCAGTCCTAGGAATGAAATGCTGATATACATTGTAAAATAAAATATGACGGAGGTAACTTGACACACAAAGGTTCTCAGTGGTCCTGTTCCCAGTTTGGCATCACTAAGAATTTTGAAGGGAAAAGTCAGAATCATAAGAAGATCAGAAATAACTGTGTTCTTGAGAAAAATAATAAAGTTTGATTTACTCCGGATTTGAAAGAAAATCCTCATCGCTAGGCTATTTGTGATGAGTCCGACAAAAAACAGGACGGTGTAGAGCAGTGGGAAGAGGACCTGGGTGATTTTGTAATCTCTGGTGCACAGACTGGTGTTCCCAGGCACAGAGGTGAGGTTGTCGATGGCTTGCATTTCTTCTTTGTTACCTAAAGAACAAGAGAGAGGATGGTTATTTTCAGCCTGAGGTAGTTATTTTTACTGTTATCTCTGTGTGTAATTTTTTGGACATGGCCTTCTCTAAAAGTTGAGGTTTTTCATCTTCATTGTAGTGGTTAGTAGGAACACAGAAAACCGAATCCTAAAATATTCGTTGCAGCAAATACTGCATCTCTGCTGAAGAGAAATGATCTGAAGTACAATATGCGAAGTTATGGATGCTTTGTATTTTTTATTTGTTGAATGCTTGCCTCTTAAAGCATATTTTGACTTATGGCTTACTCATATTTATATACAAAAGCTAGAAGAGAAATAATGGGGTTGCGCTTTACTCTTCTCCATCTTCCCCTCCATGCCTTTTAGCTTTTTGGTTTCTATTCACGTTCCCTTTCCCCCACCGTACTTATTCCTGAGCTTCTTTTACTGTAGTACCATCAAAGCATTTGAAAGAGAAATGATAGATAATTGCCTGTTAGAATTATAGAGAAATGATGGATAGTTGTCTAACGTAATAAATAGAGAAATGATAGATAATTGCCTGTTAGAGTTATAGAGGAATGATAGATAGTTGCCTAAAGTAATAAATAGAGAACTGATAGATAATTGCCTAAAGTAATAAAAAGGAGGAATAAATTGGTATCAATTACTCTTGGGAAACTTATTAAATGAATAAAAGACTGAATCAGTAAAAAAACAAACAAAAACCCCTGAACCTTTTATTTTTATATTTGGAAGATATTCCTGTTTCTGTATTGCTTAGTCAGTCATTCAAAAACTGGCCTCACAGAGATTCATTATTCTCCTTCAAATACTTTAACCTATGTATATCTTATTTCTAACTTTGCTCAGTGTGTTTGAAGTTACTGCATACATTTTCTTGAATATCATTCAGTATAAATTTTAAAATAGTAAAAATGTAAGAGACAGAGAGAAATGGCTTATGTATATATGGTCATGAGTTGGCATTCCTCAAAACAGGACATACTTACTAGATTTATGGAGTGTGTAATGGTAGCTAAAATAAAATATATGTTATTACCACAATAGGCAGCTATAAAGAAAACTAACAAGTGACTCGAATATGCTATATGGCATCTACATCTTAGAAATTTGAAGTGACGTTTGTAATCCTTTTATTTCATCAGAGATAAATGAAATTGGTTCTATATAAAATATTCTTAATAATTATGATATATTGAAAGTACAAATAACACATTAAAACAACTTTCATGTAAAATCTATTTAGATAAATGAATGTAGCACTTACATTCCCCAAAATGTCTGCACAATTCTTTTCTGTCTTTAATTACGGAAAGAAAATAATTAAGAATCATGTTGTTACAGTATGGCTTTAATTTTCAACACCTCTCCACCTACTTAGTGCTTTAAAATAATACTAAACAAAACCTAATGTTTTATAATACAAGATCACTGATTTTAACCTTCCTTGCTACTGCTGCAAGGTCTTAGTTCATCCCTCACAGTTTTGGAAATTCAATTTTGTGAATATACATTTTGTATAGTATGTAGGTTATTTAACAAGTATTCTTAACATTGAGAATTTCAGCTCCCTTTATCTGTATTCAAATCTCATTTTATACTTGAGGCAAAGTAACTAAGACCATTTGTATTTTATTCCTACGGTTTGTATAATTTTTCTTAAGAGCTTAACAATTGTCTCTGACATCATTAAATAGACTTGTATTTTAATTTTTATTCCAAATACATGCTTGCATTGATAGTTACTAAGGTTTACAATTTTAAGAGAAACTTGCAAAAATGTACACACACATCAGAGGGTAAATACATCTATTTGTCAAGTACTTAAAGAAATAACATTACCTGATTACTGTGTTATTCTGGAGGATTTGAATGTATCCAGTAAAATAGTAGTTATTGCAGCCTGCAGAGTGGCATCTGGTATTTTCCTTTTAATGTCTTAGTTTAGTTGCCAGACCTTTTTGTGACAGAGAATTTCCTGAGTTTTCATCAGTAAAGTCTTGAGTGTTCTAGAGAGAAATAGAAGGAGAGAAAGAGAGGGCTTCCCAGTCAGAGATTGTCTTCATAGCTGGACTCAAAGCTATGCAGACACTGAATTTCTGTCTGTCCTCTTTTAGGACTTCTGCTTTTATTTCCCGGGAAATGTGGGATGAGGGTGGCTGAGAAGTCACCTTTTAAAAAGCAATTTAAAATCTTGCAGCTTTTTACTGAAACCTTCCGTAGATGATTTATAACTTCAAGTTATGGTTATTTCCTATGCAAATGATAAATCCAACTTGAGATCAAGCCTTGGAAGTCTGCTTCCTGGAGAAGATTTTAAGCTTGCTTTCTTGGGTGGTTAATTTATCTGAAATATATTGTGTACAACACTGTGTGATGTATTTTCTTTTAACAAGTAATTGTGTTAACTCAAAATGCGTGCTGGTTAAGGATGTTAAGTCTCTGGCTCTTTGTTTTTGCCTTGGTTAATAATGTCATTATTTTAAATCTGTGTTTGATTAACTCCTTTGTAGATGAAACAGTTTCCTTCTATTATAAATTAGCAGATTCCAAAATTACATTAGAAAAGCAGTTGTAGCCATTGCCGGGCTTATTATATACAGTGCCCTTCATGCTTTTCTTGAATAGAATTTTAATATAAACAAACTATATTTGTTTCTTTACCTAACTTTGAGTTTTGGGGAAAATATAACATTAAGGCATCCTTGTATCACAAATATATACAGTTCTTTAACTTTGAAACCAAAAGGGCAAATGATACATTCGGGGTGAGATTGAAGGGCAAAGTGTTTTGCTGCTTTAACTTTATGTAACTATTGCTTTGCAGAAACACACACTGCTGGTATCTCAAACTGTGGTGTCCTTCTGTTATGAGTAGAAATCATTTGGGTTGGTACCTTTGCTGTGAATATGTTTTGGTTGTTTCTATTTTGAGTATTTGTGTATCTCTTTACATGTTAAATATCTTCACTGGTTTTCGAAGTGCAGAGCAGCAGCTCAGCATCACTTGGGAACTTGCTAGAAATGCACATTTTGGGGCATCAGCCTAGCTGAGTGAATAAAAAACTCTGGGGTACCCACCCCGCATCTATATTTTAGTGAGCCTTCTGTCGATGGTCAAATATGAGGGCACTCAAATGTGAGGACCACCGATTTAAATGGACATAAGAATTTTATTGCTATTTAGAACTTGAAATGAAGCTATTAATTTCAGTCATTTCAGACATAATCCCCACCTGTTGGTCATCTTTGAGGAATTAGTTTGATATTAAACTCTTAGAAATGATTGTATTGTTATTTTTAAATATGACTGTTGTAAACAGATCTTAGCCTTCCTTATTTGTTGTAGACTCAAAATTATACTTGCTTTTATGCTTATATACTTCAAATAATAATTGTCAAAGTTTAATTAATTTCTTATACTGTTATGAATTACGTCAATTTATTATCTCAACTATTCTCTGAAATAGTGTATCATCCTCATTCTCTGGATGAGGGGAACTGAGGAGCAGAGCAGTGAAGTTAAATGGAGACTCCATTCTGACCTGTGCTGTCTAGTTCTAGCATCTATATTTGTGAATTTTTGTGCCTGAGAATCTTCCCTGTCACATCCTCTCCTCAATTCCTCTCCCATTAAGAGGCCCAGGAGTGAGAGGTGAATTTCATGTGTGGGAGGGCTGTACCTCTTTCAATAAAATAAAGACCATTCTTGCCTTTACAACAAATTGTAAATGCTAAAGCATATTTTTGATGCTTTTTCTAAGACCATCAGATGAAACAAGGCTTATACAAGAAAATCGTGATTATTTTCGACAAATCTACCTGCCATATTAAAGGAAAACTAATTCAAGATACTTAAATCATACTACCTTATTGAGAATTTATATTTCCAAACCTCTAGAAGGGCTATCAGTAGGGATTTGAGGGATGAAAGGAGGGCTTCAGTTCTTGATCTAAATTAACTTGATCTTTTCTCTGATTTTTAACTCACAACCACATACCTATGTACGAACCACCTCTGATAACAGTTTTCCATTGGAGGAAGGCTGCCAGTTAGGCCACTTAATGCTGAATGTGACTAAAATCTTTAAGTGAAAAGTATCTCGGGGTACAGAAGCATATTTTCATATGAATAGAAGCAGAGCAAGTTGATATACTTTAATCTCTCACTTGTAAATAATATCAACACATGTAGTTTGTAGTTGTTTGTGTTACTATTGGGAGCATAGCTAACTTTGGTTGATTTGGTTATTTTGTGTGATTGAGATGAGTTTGAAAAATGAACAGAGTTTTTACTCTTAAGTGGTTTAATTCATTTGTTTATTTTACCAAGTCTGCTAAAGGTAGTAGTCTGCTCATATGAAAAATGTTTGCTTCAAATGAGTTTACTTTGAACCCTGTAGTCTTTTGGAACTGGGCAGGGAAGTAGAGATATAATTATGACATTTGATTAGCTCTTAGGCTGCTTTAGTTCCAGTGGTCTGTGGTTCTAAATGTGGTCATTTCGACGTTAAGGAATATTTTGTTTGAGGGCACGTGTTTTAAAGCAGTGCATAGTTATGGCTGCTACCTTGGCTTTATGCATCGGAATATAGAAATTTAGGTTAGATATACAACAGGTTCCAAAAATAACGAGTCTTGGGCATTGAGGTATTTTGCAAAAAAGAATGCTGTCTTTTGTGACCCAGTTATCTGACATCCCAGTCTTGAGTATTTTGCTTGTAAGTAGAGGACAAGTATATATAAGTATTAGTCATACCGTGGACTATAAGCTGTGTAGAACAAAGATTTCATATACAAATCTAGTTAAAACGGTCTCCTATTTTCTTGATTTACAGAAAATATACTCCACTTTATGTATAGTTACTAATGATTAAAAAAAAAAAGAAACCTCTTAATGTCTTCATTCCTGTAACAGTTTCTTCATCCATGTGCACACCGATTCTTCCTCCCCAGCTCAGAGGCTTATTCCTGATGGCACATTTGTATGAATTTGTTTTATCCCTCCCCAAAAAATGGTCTATTGAAAGATTCAGCTGAAAGAAACGGTGTTATAAGGCATCCTTTAAGAGTTATTTAATAAGCTAAAATTTTTAACTAAATGCATTTATCTCTAAAGACTAGTTTTTATTGCTTTTCTTAGAGACGTGGTAGGTTGCTATGTGAGATTTACTTCAAGATATAGACTGGATTTGCGTTTGAATTAGAGCACACAAAATTAGAGAGTACTGGGAAGTATGAAGTGCCTTATTTTGTTTTATCAGAAAGACAATTACATCTACTTAATCTGTCTTTTATTAGTGTTTGGAAGAAAGGAAGCACATTGAGAGTGAGATCTTTATTCATTTTTCTTTAAGGACATTAGTAATTTTAAAATTCTATGATTATTGGATTATTGCTGAAATATCAGAAAATATGAATAAGATGAAGTGAGAACACCCAGCTCTGCTCATCTCACCATCATTATCACATCTTTATCAACACACACACATTTTGGCAAAATTTCTAATTAGTTATTTTAAATAAATAAACATGAATTAGAGCAGACCTCAGTTCCATTAACTCCATTTCTTCTTTCTAAGGACATTTGGCTCAAGGGACATATTTTAATTTGTGTAGTACAACAAGCCTTCCAGGGTTTTTGGCGTGCATCCTTCTAGTTTCTTCATCTGTTAAGTCTCTGTGAGTGTGAGATAGTATCTGGAGAAAGAAAGTAATTGATCTAAAGGACGAGATCCTTAGGACTCATTTTACAGGGGAGATGACCCATTCAATTCAACAGCAGCAGGTGGACTAGAATAAAAGAGGTAGCCTGACATCTTCTATAATAGACTATCCAGTTGTGCTTTTCGTTGTCAAACAACTGTATCCTTGAGGGAATAAACAAGAGAGTAATTTTTGGATGCTTATCTCAGATTGTTAATATTACTTAAAACTATTAACTTGAGGGTGTTTAAACACCAAGTTGAAAGAGCAGAAATCATTGATACTTTTGAAAATAGCTGGTAAATTTTCTTAGGTTGACTTTATTCTCATTTGCTATAAATTGTTATTTGAAGGCTTATACATTTTCTACTTGTACAAAATACTGATGTAAACAGATCTTGTAGGCTCTTGAAAAATAATACCTTCTGAAGTGCCTCTTCCTGTCCTCTTTGAAGGCTAGTTTAGTAACAGCTATCATGAGTTCCCTGAAAATATTAATGCTAAGAAAGATCTGTCTTTACACCCCATATAGAGCTTGAGCAGTTACTGTTTTCCAGCCAGCTGCATGCTGCTTTTGCTTTTCAGTTTTATCCCCTCATTCTCAACTCATGACTATTTCTTGGCTGAACTCCCTGTGCATATCAAGGCCGATGAACAATTTAAGTTTCTTTAAGTTTCTTCTTCACCTCAAAATTTCTTTGTATTTTCACTAATTTTCCTTTTTTCCTATGGTTAAGTCGAAAGATGTTCCATTCTTTCCTTATTAATCCAGATAAGAGGCCATTGTCTCTTACATCCTTTTTCAGTGATCTATTCTCCAATCTTGATTTCCTCCATGGAAGTTTGTTTATTTGAAAGATAGGTCTGAAACAAGAGTTTGTTGATGATCTTTCATAACTCTCTCTTTCCTCTCAAGCTGCTGTTCTTCATGCCCAACTCCTGGTAAATGTGGGTCACTTCCTTACCCTCACCATTTCATCATCACCTCTTAATTCAACCCCTTGTTTCCTATTGAGCCCCTACCACTTTAGGGAAACTTCTTTTTGGAGGATCTTTTTAGTAAACAAGTCAGAAGTCACGTCCACTGTGATTTCTTGACTTCATTGGACATTGTCAATGGCCCTCTTTCTTATGTGTCCCGTCTCCTGACTTGTGTGACTCCACATTATCATATTATCTTATTAATTATGGAGAATGCACCTGCACTGTTTGATGGCTTATTTACCCCCTTCACCATCTCAGCTCTCTTGGCTCTTCTTTCCTAAACATAACATGGAGGTTTTGCACCCCTCGCAGGACTTGACATATTGTTCTTATCTCTGAGCTGTCATCTCTGTGTTAGGACCTGTATCAAACCAACTACTGCACATTTGCACACTTTTACCTACTCTTCAAATTACTTGAAATTATAGGTAAATTCAAAAGTACCCTGCCCTTATAAAGGATTAATATGTTTTTTTCCCCTCCAGCAGATTTTAACTAGTGGGTGAATCTTGAAGTCCAGTGAGATGCGCATTGACTCCTTGGATTCAGCCCCCTGATCCTTTCCTAACTTCTTAGGTACCTCTTCATTTTGCTTCTTAGGCTTCAGTCACACCACTAAAACTTAGTTCACCCTACAGACTCTTTTACTTTAGCTTTGTCTCTCACATCTCCCCTTCGTTTTTCTCAGCACTTAATCATCAGGTAAAGTTTCGTACAAAACTAATTTTTGTTCTTATCATCATGTCTGCCCTATTCCTTTAGCTATCTGTTCGTTTATTAGTCCACTTATTCTGTATTTAGCGTGTTCAACAAATATGAAATGCTAACTCATTGGCCATTAAGGAGATTATAAAAATGAAACAAAACAGACATGGAGTCTTGCACAAAATTTACACACTAATGAGGAAGACAGACATTAAACAAATACCTAGAAAATAAGTGAATTACACTGTAATAAACCCTCCAGAGTCTACTTCCCCTCCCTACTCCTTCCGTGGGGAGGGTTTCAATAAACCGGAGTGATAGCGTGAGGGAACTGACACGGTATTTATACATAGCATTTCAGCAAGTGAAATTGCAGCTATGAGAGTATTTTAGGTGCAAGGATGAGCAACAGCAAAGGGAAGAAGTGCCCTAGAGTCTTTGTGAAATGCTGAGTAATGCAGCTCGGTGTGGGTGTGGGGGACGTGCAGCAGAGGACTGGAAGCCTAGCATGTGAATGAACAGCAGTGAACACTGTCCAGTATGCTCCTAAGCATTTTGCATACTTTATCTCAGGTTTTCTCACAAAAACCTTACAAGGAAGGGATGTTTCCCCATTTTTCAGAAGAATCGGAGGTTTAGGAAGGTTCATTATTCCAGATCATGGACTTGGCAAGTGGCACAACCAACATGCAGTCAGAGCTCTCCTACCCCAAGCATGGGCTATTACGGATAAATTTGGGGCCATGGTGATCCTGTGCAATTGTGAGGAGCATGTGGCTCTTTCCAGGATGCTTTCTTTCACCACCCCTCTTTGGACTTCTAGGTCTGTAAATACTACTTTTATGACATTGAATTTGTGCTCCTTGAAGACAGGAATCATTCATCCTTGTATTTTCTCAGGGTTCCTAGCATTCTGTCTTGCCTTAAGTAGATATTCTATAAACAGTTATTGAATAAGTTTGCTGAAGTCATCACACTTCTCATAAACATTTACATTAGAACCATTTCATATATGCCTTAACTGAAAACAATTGCCAAAGCATGTGACTGGCACTGCCTTCATGTTTTATAATTTTCTTAGTGCCCTTCTTTTTCCTTCCTAAGGTTTATATGTACACAACCCACCAAACAACAGAAAAAGAAATATACCAGTAATTCTCTGTAGCAACAACGAAAATGAAAAATTAGCAAGCAGCTCAGCTCATTCAGATGTGCAGCCAGCTGTAGGGATATCACTGCTTACATCAGTTGTATCCTATGATTAGGAATATCTTTTGAAAATTTGGAAGAGGTACCAGGATATTAGGTAAGAACAGCTTCTAAAAGAAACTTGCTCCTTGCTGCTGCTTTTTTTTTTTTTTTTTTTTTTTTTTTTTTTTTTTTTTTAGGCTAGTTTGAACACCTGAAACATTAAGAATCATTTGGGAGTAGGGGATGGAAAGATAGATTGGCAGGGTATATAAATGCTTATTTCTGGTAGTATATAATAAAAAAGGAACTAGTACATTGGGAAGCAGTGGCAAGTGTGTGCCTGAGAAAGACTGACGAAAAGACTGAGAGCCAAGTAACAGAGTTGGAAAACAGGCTCTTTGTTTAAGGCTGCAGAAGCAATATGCTACTTTGTGCAGAGTACACATGTGAAGTACTCCAGATCAAACACTGGACTTCTCCTAGTTTTTGCTCTTTGTTGCCGCCACTACTAATTAGGAACACAGTGCAGTTTGTTTTCTCTGGGAGGAGTTCTTTTCTCATATAAGTGCCTTAGGATAAGATGGATGCTGTTGGGAAGGCCAAGTGCTTGCCACGGGCAAAAATATACAAAGAGTAAGAAAAGGAGGTTTACCAAAGGATAGATCTGGGCATTTTCTAAAAAAATGGAAGATGATAAAATCCAAGAGAGATACTGCCATAGAAAAATTCAGAGCCAGGTACAAGAGAGGGCACATCCTGGACTCTAACTTTGGCTGAAGAATGTGTTCAGTTGTGTGCATATGCTTTCCTTAGGCTGTGACTAAATTTCTTTCCCATGTGTGGAAAAAAAATAGTGCTTGGATTTATTGTGCCTGGGGCGGGGAGTGGGGGGGGTAGCAGTGAGAAGATGGTCCAGAAGGAAAGAGTGGTGATGTCAGAACATGTTTGCATTTTCAGCTCTTTGTCTCACACCTAATGACACTTAGACACCTTATTGTTTTGTCATTTGGAAATAAATATACATGTATCTCACACAGTCATGTTGGAAGTAAATGAAATATATATAGTTTTGTAGAGACGAAGTCTCTCTTTTCCAGGCTGTTCTTGAGCTCCTGTCCTCAGGCGATCCTCCCACAGTGCTGGGATTACAGACATGAGCCACTGCACCCTGTCCAGGAATATTTTTTATAAATATTTTGAGGATCCTAGCAAGATTTTTTTCCCGAAGTGTAAATATTTACTATTGCTATATGTAAAACCAAGCTTATGAAGAAATAACATTTTCCTTAAGGGAAAAATATGACTAGACATTATGTTACATGATGTGAAATTAATACCATGTTCAATTTTAAACAATGAAAAGTTTTTCAATAGCCAAAACTTACTCTGTAGGGTACGCCCACATCAAGTGCTTCTATTAAGACTTCAGGTCAGTTGACACTTTTTAAAAAAAATAATGTTAGCAGGTTCCAAACTGGAAAGACAAGGGTGTTGCCAGTGGAGGTTGAGGTGAATTGAAGGGAGGGCGGGATGCCATCACAGCAAGCCAGCATGGAGGTACTGTGGTTAGTGCATTTCAGGGATATGAAATGCAGCCCCAACCCTGCAGACAAGAGTTTCAGAATGCATTTTCTGTTTTTCAGGATGAATCTTCAAGTCATGAATGTAACCAGCGCACAATCCTTCTCTATGGAGTCGGCAAAGAGCGTGATGAAGCAAGGCATCAGCTGAAGAAGATTACCAAAGATATCCTGAAAATTCTAAATAAGAAGAGCACCACAGAGACAGGGGGTAACGAACCATAATGCATTTGCTCCCATCATGTTGCCTTTTGCCTTCCCTCTAAGCACAGTCTTTATCAAAGTGGTCTATGTCACTGTCGCCAGAGCGTTTCCTCTCCTGAATGACTGTCACATTGAAATGTGAACAAGCACATTTAAGTTGTAAAGCCTTGTTTCCATTTATAGTAATACTTGTATTAAAATATTGTATTCCATAGGTAGGTGTAGGTAATTTATTATTCTTTTTGTTATACTTCTCAAATTTTCTTTAGTAGTAATAAATGAAGTACCGAAGAATGAGTTGAAAACGCTTAGTCTGGAAGAGATCCATTTCTCTATTTTTTCACCGTAATTTTCCAAGCTTGTGGCTAGCTTTTGTTTTGGGGCACTCACATTTACATGTTAATTGAAAATCAGGACAGTATATTTGCTCGTCTTTTCTTACATTATTCAGAAAAATAATTGCAATAGGTAGTGATGACTATATCGCCAAATAATTGCAAATAAAAAAGAAAATTTGATCTTTGCTCTATAATGTCTTCTTTAGTTGGAGTGCTCTTTCCCAATCCTTTTGAAATAGTTTTTACAAAAACTATGTGCCTCTATGTTGTATCACCACATTGCATAATTGGAATTTTATAATTAACCACTTCACGTTTGCCTAATTAGTCTTTTCAAGGCTTGTTCATTTCATTAGGCAATCAGATTATTTTAAATATGATATCATTATGTATCCTGCCACCACCACTGGTGTTTATTTCTCTAATACTTAAATCACAGAAGGAAAAAGAAAGTTTGTGTTTATCCTGTGTAAACAACATTCTTCCTACACATGGTATAAACCACCTCTAGGAGCCCTACTGTGTTCTGTAGTACATAATAACTTTTTTATGGACTCTCCCCAGGAGATCCAGTTCTTAGACTTTAGCAGGTTAAATTGCTAGAGCTTGCCCACCCTAGATCTTTACTAGAGAAAAATGCAGATTTTAATAATGCAGATATGTTCTCTCTCTTTTTGGTCAGTAATGGTGCACATGCAGAAACATGGTACAAGGGCCAGTGTGTTTCAGTCTGCATATGGTGTTCTGGATATCAAGGTGACAGTCCTCAGAACACAGTGGGGAAGTTATCCTTCCTGTTAGTCACATCACATTCCCTAACTCCCTTGTGTTGCCGGTTAAGGACTTTGAAATACCTCAGCTCTCTGAGGGGACAACCAAGAGTAATGGAAGGGAAATGAAACCCTCTTGTTGACTTGTCGTTATTGAGCTTGAAAAAAGCAAGTGCTCTGGCTGAAAAAACTGTTTATCTGTTGTTTTGCTGTTTTCTCTTAGAGAAAACAGGAAACAGTTGCATTTAGAAGATTGAATTTAGAAGCCCTGAAACTAGCTAGCAAAGAAACTTTAAAACTACTTTTGGAATACTTGGAAAGGAGGGGACAGTAGTTCCTTCAGGAGATTCGGTAATACATATTTTATCTAAATTATTTTTAGAGGGTCTTTCCAGATCTTATGAAACTTTTGTTTTTAAAAGGCTGAGGGGAATGAGACAGGGAAGGAAGCAATGCTGTATCCTTTCCTTCTGAGCCGACTAACTTCCTTCACAGCTCTTTAATGCCACACTACACTTTGTCCTGTCTTTGTACCAGTCCCTCAAATAGGCAATTCCAGCATATGAGCTCACAAAGAGAAAAATGTTGTTATGTGCTGCTTTTTTTTTTTTTAAAAAAAAAGACAGAATCTCACTCTGGTGCCCAGGCTGGAGTGCAATCTCAGCTCACTGCAACCTCCACCTCCCCAGTTCAAGCGATTCTCCTGCCTCAGCCTCCTGAGTAGCTGGGAATACAGGTGTGCCACCAGGCCCAGCTAATTTTGTGTTTTTAGTAGAGATAGGGTTTCTCCATGTTGGTCAGGCTGGTCTTGAACTCCCGACCTCATGGTGATCTGCCTGCCTCGGCCTCCCAAAGTGCTGAGATTACAGGCGTGAGGCACTGTGCCCGGCCACTGTGCTGCCTTATTGAGAAACAGGTTAAGTATTCCTTATATGAAGTGCTTGGGACCAGAGTGTTTTGGATTTTGGATATTTTCACATTTTTAATATTTGCATATATAATGAAAAATCTTGGGGATGAGACCCAAGTCTAAACATGAAACTCATTTATGTTTCGTGTACACTTTATACACATATCCTGAAAATTATTTTTCTCTTGGGGATGCTGAATAAGCTGTGTTGTGTGCCTTCATTTTGACTGTGACCTGTCACATGAGATCAAGTGTGGAATTTTCCAATGTGACGTTATGTCTGCACTCAAAGTTTCAGATTTGGGAGCATTTCAGATTTTGGAGTCTCAGAACAGGAATGCTCAACCTGTATCAGTAAACAGAAATACCACCTGTGGAACCACATTTTTGGGAGGGGATTTTTGTCTTTCTTTCATTTTAGATAAAGATCCTTAACCAGAAAGCTGTTAATTTGGGATGTAGTGAGCTGCTGTCTTGTAAATAATCTTAATTTTAAGAAATTAACTAACCATACTTCAGATTATTGGAAATATGCCCACTTTTTTAAGCAAAATGAGTGCTGGTAAGGAAAACAGAGCTTGTGTTCACATGTATTTGATTTCTGGGAACACATGAAAATAATATTTTGAGGAACCAATTCATTAGGAGTGTTTCAGATCAGCCAGGTCTTGCCTAGGGGAATTTATGATATAAAGTTTAGATAACATTTCCAGTCGAATGATGAAAGTTCATTTTCCATTTGCATTGACCAGTTATCTCTTTTGGTTGACAAGGCTGTATCTCTTGAAAATATTAGAGAAGTTTACTTTGACAACCTTTAAAAGGCTAAAGTTTCAGGACTTAAAGATTTTTAAAAATGAAAATCAAAATAAGCAACAAAAGAGCAATAATGTGTTATAAAAGCAAATTAACAAAGACAAGGAAAAATATATATTGACTATATTGTTACTCATGTAAATATCATTAAAATAAAGTATTTCATTGAGAACCACCACTAATTTCTTCCATTTTGCTTTTAAAGTATAAATTTCCAAGAACCAATTACATTCTTTTAGATAAGGTTTTAAGAAGTTAGTGATGTGTAGGTAAATTGAATCTACTAGCACAAACAAGTAAAAAGGTGCACTTGGGAGTCTTTAGTAGGATCTATTTCATTAAGTCTGTTGTTATTGTTTACTTGTTTTGTTCCAGGAAGAACTGAATACATTAATTTCACTTTTTTCCCCCTGAATCCCTCCCCAACCCCCATTAATTTCACTTTTAAGGCATTTTGTGCACAAAATGTATTAGCTCTGAACTTCAGCCTTGGATCAGAGATGTTAGTAAATGAAAAATTCAAAATGTGGATATTTTAAACACGCTTATGACATGTGAACAGGTATAATGAAGGCAAAATTCCATATATAATTTGTACTTTTGAGAGTAGATATTGAAAAAAGAAGCAGGTTTAATGAATTTGTTAGTTTGTATTCTTTGCATTATATTTGATGTTACTGGCCAAAAGTGGCACAAGCTTGCAGCTTATGTTACCCCTGCACATTTAAATTCTGATGTACTCTGCTATCAAAGTTTGTTTGTTTAGGGAATTAGAAAAGAACCAGCCTTGTGGTATTTTGTTTTATTTTGTTTTTGACTCTAACAACTAGTTACTCATTGTTGGAAGAGAAGCCTCTGTTATTTTAATGTTATTCTTTAAAGACCATTACATTTGCCATTAGCAAAATATTTTTGAGTTCAGTAAAATCTTTTTCATTTCTTGTGTCTTTAATAGAGAAATCTGTAAAGTCACATTTGTTCTCTGAAATTAAACTTTCCTAAATAAGAGGCGACACTGTGAGGAGTAGAACTCTTGTCTCGGGGGCCTTTAGCTACTTAGAATCACAGTGTTAGTAATGACATTATCAATCATATATCCAACTTTTCCTTTTTGTTTTTTGATATGTCTTTGTAAATACAAAATATTAAAGTATTTAAAAACAGGATTGAATCTATTTTTGGATCTTATTCTTTGAAGTGTTAAGATTACCCCTAGAATAAGCAATGTTTATTTTTTTAATTGAAATTTTCTTCAAACCTCTTTATGATAATTTGATAAATGTAGCATTTCTTCATTAATGTGGAGTGATTTAATTTTTTGCTGCCATTAAAAAAGGAATTATGTAATTTCTTGTTAAAAAATATATTAAACTATTACAGAAAAGTAACAAGGTGAGTTACCAAAGAAGATGCCAAGGAAGTATGTGTTTGTGTCAAAGTGAGCCCAGGAGATCTCCTCACCTTCATTGTTGATATCACTGTAATTAAAAAGTCATTTAGGCCGGGCGCGGTGGCTCAAGCCTGTAATCCCAGCACTTTGGGAGGCCGAGGCGGGTGGATCACAAAGTCAACAGATCAAGACCATCCTGGTCAACATGGTGAAACCCCATCTCTACTAAAAATACAAAAAATTAGCTGGGCATGGTGGCGTGTGCCTGTAATCCTAGCTACTCAAGAGGCTGAGGCAGGAGAATTGCCTGAACCCAGGAGGCGGAGGTTGTGGTGAGCTGAGATCACGCCATTGCACTCCAGCCTGGGCAACAAGAGCGAAACTCCATCTCAAAAAAAAAAAAAAAAAGTCATTTAGTGAGAAATGTTCATAAAGGCACTTTTTATGATAGCTAAAATCTGGAAACTACTCACTGGAATGGTTAAGTAAATAATGGTATAGTCACACTTTCAAATACTGTAAATAAGTGAGAATATTAATTTTTACAACAAATTAAAATTGCCTCAGTAATGTGAATCAATCTTAAAAACATACTGTTGATTGAAAGATGCCAGATGTGAAAAGCAGATACTATATGATTTCCTTTATGTAAAGTTCCAGAGTAGGCAGTAACAATCAGTTGTTAGATATCAGGATTGTGTTCTCCTAGGGACGGAGACATATCTAGAGAGGACTGAGGGAGTTTCCAAGAGTCCATTCTGTGATACTGTGATTCGAGTCTTATGTGAGTGTATTTATTTTGTAGAAATTCATAGAATTTGTGTACTTCTCTGTATGTGTGCTATGCTTTAAAAAAAGTATCCATTAAAAATGTCAAGAGCTTCTATTAAAATGATGGATCTGCTTTATGTTTATGTAGGTGGGGATGAAGGACAAAAAGCCAGGAAGAATAAACAAGAGACATTCCCAACCCTGGAGACTGTGTTCACAAAACTTCAGCTCCTTTCGTATTTTGATCAACATCAAGTGACATCCCAGGTAGCCATTTAAAGCTGTTTTGTTGTGCATTTGCAGTATTCTAATTCCCTTAAAATTTTTTTTCATGCAGTATATTTTCTCAGCCTTAATGGTTTTATACATATATTTTATAAACATGCTTGGAAGTATCTCAGACTATTCAGTAGTGTCAGGTTGCCTTCCTCAGAAGGATTAATCTTTATTATCTACATTGTTTTTGTCCTTATAATAATCAGTGACATACAAAGTAGTAGCTAATGGAATACTTAGGTTATTAGAGTTTGGTCCTATATTGCGATTGATAAGGAGAAATCTGTTGATGATTGAAATAAAATCCTATGAAATTGAGAAGAAAACACATCTGTTTTGCTTTACAAATCCATTGATATTCAAATGGATCCATCTAAAAAATAACATTTGTAGTTATTCTACCACTAGGATACTTAAGATTTAGGTCTTAATGACAGCTTTCCATATTTTTTAAAATTATAGTTATGAAAAAGTTGTCTTATTTGTACATAGTTTTAGTTTCTGTAAAAATATGTTTTACTTTTGTCAAAGTAGAGTCATGTATAAATTCAACTGTCTTAAAGAGTAAAAATATTTTATCTTAGTAAAAGATTATTTCCAATATTGATCTTACAATATTTTCGCTTTTGTTTGCCCAGATTTCTAACAATGTGCTAGAACAAATCACAAGCTTCGCGTCAGGAACATCCTATCATCTCCCTTTGGCTCACCACATTCAGCTCATCTTTGATCTCATGGAGCCAGCACTGAACATCAATGGACTAATTGACTTTGCAATACAGGTGTCAAAGAGACCATGTTTCTCTTATTTTTAGGAATGCAAATCCACCAGGCATTGTACAGTTTAAAGTGAGCCAATTAGCTGGGCACAGTGACTTGTGCTTATAATCCCAGCACTATGGGAGGCTTGCTTGAATATAGGAGGATTGCTTGAATTGAGGAGTTTTTACCCCTGGGCAGCATAGTGAGTCACCATCTCCACAAAAAATTTAAAAATTAGCTGGATGCATGCCTGTAGTCCCAGCTACTTGGAAGGCTAAGGCAGGAGGCTCACTTAAGCCCAGGAGGTCAAAGATGCAGTGAGCCATGATCACACAACTGCGCTGAAGGCTGTGGGACAGAGCAAGGCCCTGTCTCAAAAAAAAATTAAATTCAAAAAAATAAAATGAACCAATTGCTGTGCATTAACATTATTTTAGGGACATAGTACATCTGTATAATTTAGACATTGTGAATTAACAGTCTTAAACTAACATTTTATTTATAATTGTGATCATGGTTTTCAATTCAATAATTATCATGGTGCCAAAATACCTACCATTTAAAAATGTGAACGTTTTTAATATTTCTTCTGTTTCTTTTGTTATTTTGCTTAATGAAAGATGAAAGTTTATTTGCTGTTTATAATAGAGCATGTTTTAGGTTAAGAGCCAAAACAAACCTTATAATTTGACTTGCTATACTGTGTTATTTCTTGTAAACATTTGAGTTCATTAGTTGTCTTCTGTTATTAGTAAACAGAAATAAGACTTGGTTTCCTTTGTTGATTATATAGGAAATACTAAGGAGATACTAACTTTGTTAACAAAAAGAAAAGAAAGCCAAATAACTTTCATTTTATTAAAAAGAAGGAGAAAGGGGAGAAAAGTGAGGGGTGAGATTTTCTAAAATTATACAGTCCAGAACCTTGTGCTGCCATAAAGTTTCAGTACCTTATTTCAGCACTGGGTACTTCCTGATTGTATACATCCTGATGTCTAGACAGAAGAACAACTCTGTAAATTGGAAAAGGCTTAAAAATTTTAAAAAAAGTTAAATTCAGGGAATGTATTTGTGTGGAATGGCTCAGTATATTTATGGTTTGTAAAAATAAATGTTTTTTTCTATTTGTTTTGGCACCTACATTTTTATTCAGTCTTTTCTCCTGTTGTAGTTACTAAATGAACTGAGTGTTGTGGAAGCTGAACTGCTCCTAAAATCCTCAAGCCTGGCAGGAAGTTATACAACAGGACTGTGTGTCTGCATCGTGGCTGTTCTGAGGCGCTATCACAGTTGTCTGATCCTGAATCCTGATCAGACAGCCCAGGTGTTTGAAGGGTTGGTATATAGCATGTCATTGTTGTTTTTCCAATCTTGTAATGCATAATTGGTGATGGAATATTATAGTGGTTTTGAAAGAAAAATAGTACTGATATCTGTTTTAATTAAAATAGTTAAAGAACACTCTTGCCAGAAAATGTTGATCAGAAAAAGAGATCTCAGCATGTAAAGTATGTTCTTTCTAATAACGCGTGATTCCTCCCTCCCTTCCTGCTTACCTTTCTTTCCTCTCCCTGGTTTCTAAGAGTACAAAGCCAGTCATTTACAGTACTTTATGGTTAATATTACCCAGCATCCTGGCATATTATGAATAGTGAATAGTGTAACTTCTTTATTCGTGTAATTTCAGTTTATATTTGCAGACTGCAACACCAAATAAGCTTTGCATACGTTATCATCTTATAAATTTGGTTCTTCAATTTTATTTGATTAAAGGTGTCTTTTGATAAGAATTAACCTAGAACAAATGACTTCATTCTTGGTTGTAGGCTGGGACTTAACTCTACTAGTGAAGTTGGGCTACGGAATTAGCTAATATCACCCCCATTAAAGACTGAGGCTAAGGGCACCAAATTAGTGTAATGAGCTCTCAAAACCTACATAAGCTGCTTTTTATCCACTCTCCACTCCTTTGTCCAGGGCTTTTTATTTAAACACAAAAAGACAACCTGTTATTTCTTTCTCTTCGGTTTTTTCCTTGTGAACTCAAAAGAATCATGGAGTTCTTTGGTTTCATAGTACCTTTTTTTTTTCTTTTTATCTAGCACATGTAATTAATTTATATGCTATTCTAGAATGATGTCAGTTTACCAGTAGCTCTTCTGGGGAAGAGGAAATGCTACCTTTTATTTGTATTAATTACATGTTATGAAATGAAATCTGAAACATCCTAGAAACTTTAGAATGTAAGAACATTTACATATTAGAATTAAGGAACTAGAGAATTATTCAGTAACTGCTCTATAAAGTTGGAATTTAGTATCGTTTTACAGTCCAAGAAATTGAGTTTCAGGCCTGTTAAGTGTTTGGTGAAGTGATGGACCCTACATCATACAGCTAATGAATATCACAGATTTTAATAAAAATCTTTCAAACTGGAAGCTTATGCTGTTTAATCTGTGTTCTACTTTTAAAATAGTGTATTGAAACCCATTAGTTGGTCATGAAATGAGCTTAATGGGTTGTGACAATTTTTTGTTTTTTTGTTTTTGTATTGATATTTTGAAATTGATTTCAGTATCATTTAGTTTGGCATTTAAAATTTTTATCCTGTTAAATATTTATAAAATTGTATTTGACATTAACTTTGTTGTATTTTTACTTTACATTAGTAAAAAAGTTTTTTATTCCTAAAACTATTATTTCACTTTTGTGCTTCTGCGAATACATACACTGGGTCACAATGTGAAATGTTTTCCTTATTGCTGGCAAATCAAAGAAGTTGAGGAAACTCTGACTACTATATGATAGATACCTAACAGACTCCCAATAAATATTTATTTACTTTAGTCACAAAATAATTCTTGGCTTTATAGATTGTATCAGGATTTTTTAAACTTTTATTTTAGAATAAGAGGGTGCATGTACAGATTCATTACAAAGGTATATTGCAGGGTGCTGAGGTGTGTCTGTTGTTCCCATCCTTATGTCCACATGTGCCTCATGTTTAGCTCCCACTTAAAGTGAGAATGTGTGATATTTGGCTTTCTGTTTCTGCATTAGTTTGTTTATGATAATGGCCTGCCGCTGCATCTATGTTGCTGCAAAGGGCATGATTTTGTTCTATTTTATGGCTGCTTAGTTTTTTGTTTGTTTATGTAGTTAACAAGTTGAATCATTACTTTTCTTCTTAATTGTGCGACACTTTTGTTCTAATTGGCAGCTTTTACCTGCTGCCAGGTAGTCCCATCCATTGATGTCAGTTCACAGAGTTTGGGATACTACATTGCCGTTTCTTCAAGAAGTCTCCTTGGTCCCACTCATGGTATCTGTGATTACATTGTCGTTCTTGGCCTAGACATCCTGTGCCCTCTCTACTTTGCCCTTTCCCCTGAACAGTGGAGAGGGGTTTGATCTGGGAGTCTGGAAACATAAACTGTCTTCTTGGTTCTGCTAGAACTAGCTCTTTGTCTTTGAGCAAGTCACCCCACCTTTTTGCCTCTCACAGCCTTCCTTATGCAATAAGGATGGTGAATCAGATAATTTCTAAAGATTTTTTCAGCTTTAATAATCTGTCTTCTGTGACTCCGTTAGTGCAGTATAATGGCTCAGCCCTGTAAAAATATACAGCCCTGTAAAAATATCACAAAAGACAAGGGGCTTTTGTGATATTCTCTGTACCTCCTGTAGTAATAGGCCTCTTTGTCTACAGTTCATACAACATTCTCTGTAACTCCTGTAGTTACAGACCTCTTTTAGATAAGATAAACTAAAGTAAATGTCTTCCTAGTTTGTATACATAAGGGGAATGTGACTCCAAACCATGAACTGCTTGTGCACTTGAAAATAGGTTTACCAGATTAATTGCTTTGAAGAATTGCTCCTTTACAAAGGGGCAAACTTGGGAATCTTTGCACTCTGACTGAATTTGTAAATCTTTTTACTGAGGAGGCGAGGGGTCTCTCTACAACACCTTTCCTTTTGTGTCTCAGTCACAGCAACTTAATTGGTGGATTCCTTCATACATACCCTCTTTATGGAGGAATTTCTTTCATTGCTTTTGTTTTTTGTCATCAGTGACATTTCTGAAGTTTTTTTTTAATATCTACTATTTTATTGTCATGTTAGAAAACTTACATTGTGCTCAGTTATTTACTCTTTGTTCTAGTTATTTGTTTCAACAATCTGATATCTTTTTTCTTACCCAAGTATACATATTTTCACTCTAAGAGAGTCAAATGATAACCCATAGAGTAGCAAATATGTGTCTCATTTCTTTGTTTATTTTTCTCCTCAGGTTGTGTGGTGTGGTCAAGCATGTTGTAAACCCCTCAGAATGTTCTTCCCCTGAAAGATGCATCTTAGCCTACCTCTATGATCTCTATGTGTCATGTAGCCACCTCAGAAGTAAATTTGGAGACCTCTTCAGGTGGGTAGAAGAGACTCAAAAGGACAGAAATAGGATCATGCCTATGTTTGTTGGTGACCCTGGCAATATTGTCATCCTTTTGAATAATGAAAGCTAATTGCAATTATGTATCTATTAGGCAATAATTTTGTCAAGGTTTGTTTAAACTGAATATTAAAATACGCAGGGGCAATACAAGGCAGACTATTATACAATATAGGTGTGTGATCATAGGTTTTTTTCCCCAGTAGTGAAATAATGTTAGGTCATAAACTAACTTTGGTTTTTTTTTCTTTAATAAATAAAGTATTTCTTAAGATTTTACATTCTCTATACGTTGTATAGACAGTGCATTTTGGGGAGTTATACTGAAGTAATGATTATTTGATATATCTTTCCATTTAAAATTTAAAATTTAATTTGAATCATAAATCAGATAGAGGCGGCTTTTTATATCTTGCTTTATTTGTATCCCTTTTGGTTTTGATATCCGCATTTTCTGAGCTGACTTTTTGCGTTACTTAGGTTAACTTTCATATCATTTGGACATCACAGTGTTTCATTTTTTATTTCCTGGTGACTCCTAGAAGATTCTGTAGCCCCATTCACGTTTCTAGAACTTTTCCAGACTGTTTTTTATTCTTTTTTTCACAAAAACAATTTGCTGTTTAGCAGATAACTTTTTCATGTGTTAATAATAAAAAAAAACCGAGAAGTACCCTCACTGAATAACATTAAATCAATGTGCATTAAAAGTAGTAAACCTGCTCTCTGTTACAGACTGTATTTGATTCAGGTTCAACTTGATAAATGCTATCTAATGTTTCCTGGTATGAAAAAAATAGCTGAATTAATCATAAAAAGATACTGTAAAATTCTGCAGTTAACCTGCTTGCTATCTTAGACTTAAAATTCATGACCTGATAATGATAGTAGTATTTGATTCCTATCAGTGCATCTTATTGCTTAAAGAATATTTTAGTGTTTAACGAGTCCAGAAAATTGTATTTCTGTAAATATTTTTATTTTCTCAATACTGTTATCCATAATTCATATTGAATTTTTTTTCTGTAGCTATAACCTCCAATTACAAATTACTGTGTCAGAGAAAATATTCTGTGCTTTGCTCTTGAAATCACCTCACTCAGAACATTCTTTCAGAGCTACTTTCATGCTGACTTCTTCACTCCGTTTGTCTGTCTGCTTCCATGGCCAATCCTATTTTAAATAGCATCCCCAGCTTCCTGTCATCTGTTGTATCTTAGCACTTGCTACCCCCACAGGCAGCACTAGTGCTGGAAAGTAAATGCTTATTTAATGTTATGCTGAGGACAGTTATTAACTATATATAGGTAGAGGGAGAGTGGTAGAAGGTAATAGCCCACAAAACAGATTTGGAATCCAGAAGGAAGTAGGGAAAGAATGATCAATTAACATTTTCTTTTCTTTCTCATACCTCGTATCCAGTTTGTTTGTAAATTCTGTGAGCTCTGCCTTCCAAGTATCTCTAGAACTTGCCCTCTCTTCACCTTCTCTTCACCCTCTCTTTACTGCCACAGACCCCTCTTGCTTTGACCATGGCAGAGTTCTTTTAACTGGTTTCCTTGCTTGCAACCCTTGACTCTTAAACACATTCTCAACATATCCACTAAAGTGATCCTTTTAATACATGAATGACTCACAGGCTTTCAGTGACTTTTCACCCACTTAGAATAAAATTCACCATCCCTACCTGGCCTTCAGTATCTGCAGGGTCCCGTCTTCTGTTCTACCCCTTTCCCTCTGTTTATTCTGGCCACACAGACCTCCTTACTGATCATACACTCTTAAGAACGACCCACGGTAGGGCTTTTGCACTTTCTGTTACGTTATTTGTAATGCTTGTCCTCAGTTACATGAGTGCCTCACACTCTACTCCTGACTGCCTTCCTTAGCACACCATTTTAAATAGTACCCCCATCTCATCATTCTGAGCCTCAGCACTACTTTCTACCCCCGCAATATATTCTATATTTATTTATGGTCTGTCTCCTCCTTGGAATGTATGCTTGGTGAGAGCAGGAGCTTTTTCTGTTTTTTTCGGTGCTGTATCCCAGTGCCTTGAAGAGTATGTGGTTCTTAGTAGGCACTGGGGAAAAAAGCTGTTGAATGGTATTGATAAAGTGTGGAAATGTGTTATGAAATGGGGTAGGCTTCAGAATAATCCTTTGTGAAATATTTGAGTAGATCTTAGGAAATACCTTTCTACAGAAATTATATCACAATTAAAAATCCTTACGTTCTTCCCTTACTTTACATTGAGCTTTTTGTGTCAGCTTACATTTTTTCAAAGAGCTTTCTCTTACATGATTTAGTTCTTACAACAGACCTTTTTAATAGTGAACTTCCTCAGGCAGCCACAATAGCTCATTTGACCCTTACTACTCCTGCTGCAGTGTGGTTCAAATAGGTTAAATGAGGTAATTCAGGTAACATGCGCTGGGTGTGGGGTGTGTGGAGATTTAGGGTACCGGCACACAGTGAATAGAGAAGTTATTTAGAGGTCTACGGAGCGGCACATCATGGTGATTGACACTATCTAAAGTTTTCTGTATTTAAAAAAAATGACATTGTCAAAAAACCAGCTCCTGGATTTATTGATTTTTTTGAAGGGTTGTTTGTGTCTCTGTCTCCTTCAGTTCTGCTCTGATCTTAGTTATTTCTTGTCTTCTGCTAGGTTTTAAATTTTTTTGATCTTGCTCCTCTAGCTTTTTCAATTTTGATGATAGGGTGTCAATTTTAGATCTCTCGTGTCCTTTGTAGGGACATGGATGAACCTGGAAACCATCATTTTCAGCAAACTGACACAAGAACAGAAAATCAAACACCGATGTTCTCACTCATAGGCGGGTGTTGAACAATGAGAACACATTGACACAGGGAGGGGAACATCACACACTATGGTCTGTTGGGGGGAAATAGGGGAGGGACAGCAGGGAGTGGAGAGCTGGGGAGAGATAGCATGGGGAGAAATGCCAGATAGAGGTGAAGGGGAGGAAGGCAGCAAATCACGCTGCCATGTGTGTACCTATGCAACAATCTTGCATGTTCTTCACATGTACCCCAAAACCTAAAATGCAATTAAAAAAAAAAGAGAAATACAGCTTTCTTGGGATATCTTGAAGTCAGAGATTTGTTTGTAGTTTAAGAAAACCGGGCAAACAAAAGCTAGATACACAGAGATTTCTGTCAGTGTACTGATAAACAACTTTAGTAATTTTACTAAAGCACTATTCATAAAGTTGTGTGAGAGAAATATTTTTTTCTGAAACAACATTCATACAGTTGTATGAGAGGAGTATTTGGGGAGATATAACACTGGTCACCTCTACCACTGATCGAGCTACTGCCAAGTACTATGCTGGATTATTTCCATCAACAGCTTTAACTTTGACATCAGCCTCAAGAAACTGAAAAATGTCATGACTCTGAACTGCAAACTTGTGTCATTCAGTGACAGCCAACGTATTTTTTAAAATACAAGTTGTCTGCACAGAAAGAGAATACAGAAGATTGTAATTGCTGCCATTTAGTAGATGACTTTAGCCCTGTCTGTTAGCCTAGTGCTTCCCAAGTATTATTTGGCACTTGATTTGTGTGGGAGATCTTGTTACACATACAGACTATACAGTGGAGGCCCAGGATCCTGTATTTTTAACAAACACCTCAAAAGTGATTCTGAAGGAGTAGAGCTGATGCTACATTTTATGATTTGAATAATCTCTGTTTTCTTAAAGCTGTTGACCATGACAGTGGTTTAGAATAGAGAGTCTTTATGACTTTTCGTTTTTGAGGGATTCATTCCTGGCTACTGTTTATGCAGGTGTATAAGAATATGGGGTTTAAAAAAAAGCCGCATGTCACCACAAACCACGAATACACTTGCTGCCAAATGTATTAATCTGTAATTTCTGCTGCATAAAAGAGCACTTGAGTAGAGAAGGTGAATGTTGTTTATAGATTTGCTGTTTACAGAAAGTAAGCACAAACAGCTAAGTTTATGTGGAATCTGAGCATTTACATCAGATCATTTTCTCAGTCTCATTCACAGAGCAGGTTTAGAGGAGATAAAGTCTAATTCCTTTTATACTTCCAATAGTCTATATCTGATTCAGATGTAACTCACCGAAACATGAGCTGTTTTCATATGATAGACCAGTCTTTTAAAAAAATCTCTTAATGCCTCTGAGAAATACAACATGATAAGTTTTAAGGAATGACATAGTGGTTTTTTCACTTCTATAGAATTTGTGTGTTATCCATATCCCCTTACTAGCATATAAGTCCCTTGAAGGCAGGGAATGTGCCTCTCTTTTTCACAGCTGTGCCACAGTGTCCCAAGTAGTCTTGGCACATGAACTTCTAGTGCGTACACTATACTAGAGGAGTAGTTTTGTAGGATTTGTAATTAGGAGTAACATAAAATTTCCCTTATGTGTAATGGAATCCTTTTTTGTTTTCAAGTAATAACATTTTTCAACAATTGTTAAGACACAGTTGTTGGAAGCCGTAGGAATTTCTTTGATTTTATAAACATGTAAAATGTAGACAATATTTAGGAGATAATGAAGATTTGTAACCAAATACCTCATTTCTGTTTTGTTCTCCTACTCATTTAGAAAATATTTATTGAGCAATTTCTACATTCCAGGTACTCTGATTAGCACCAACTAGTAAGAAGTTCAAATTAAGGACTTATAATGTGAATCTTCTCTAGAAATGCATTACATTTGCTGCCATTTAATATGTCCTTAAGTGGAATAGTTTTCTAGTTATTCTAGTTTTATTTTTCTGTTTTAACTTTTTTTCTTATAACCTCAGTAGTGCCTGTTCAAAAGTAAAGCAAACCATATATAATAATGTGATGCCTGCAAATTCGAACTTGCGATGGGATCCGGACTTCATGATGGATTTTATTGAGAATCCCTCAGCCCGCAGCATCAACTACTCAATGCTGGGCAAGATCCTCAGTGACAATGCAGCCAATCGCTACAGCTTTGTCTGCAATACACTCATGAATGTATGTATGGGCCATCAGGACGCTGGCAGGTGAGATGGGTTACCCTGGAATTCATGTTTAACCAAAGAGCTATGGCCTTGGTGCTTCTTTGAAATTGATGTCGTTTGTAATTGTCTAGACTCACATTTGGCTATCATTGCTTTTTCTGAATCTTCTTTTATTCTGGAATTTACCTCTGCACTATCTTTTAATTTCCTGAACCTGAACGACAGTGCTTTCTGACTGCTTGCTCTGGCATAGATGTTTTCAATATGGCCAAAAATTACATGATTCATTTTCAAAAACATAATAAAAATCCAAATTAAAATACCTATATTTAGAAAAAAACTGTATATGGACCCACCTAAATTACTTAAATTTAGTCTATAAATTTTTTGATGCCCTTAAAAGTGTAAATCACAGCTCAGATTTATTCATGAAATTATCTCATATATGTAGTGATTATTGTTTGTTGCTTAACAGAATTAATTGTCAAAACATTTGAAGCCGTTTACTTTTATCTTCTCGAGGTTCTAAGTTATTTGACAAATGAGTATTTTTATCTGCAAATCTAAGAAAATGAATAACTTGTTTGATTATAGTGAAATTTATGTTAAGTATATCACATGTGAGTATTTCTGTTTTGTACAAGATTACTTTCTATGTTTTATTTTTCTTTTCTAGAATTAATGACATAGCCAATTTCTCCTCTGAGCTTACGGCTTGCTGCACTGTTCTTAGTTCAGAATGGCTGGGGGTTCTGAAGGCTCTTTGTTGTTCTTCAAATCACGTGTGGGGGTTTAATGATGTGCTTTGCACTGTAGATGTAAGTAGTTTTCTTTTTCATTTAAAAATTCAACTGTGCAATTAAATATTTATTGAGCGGGCAATCTTTTTGCTTTTGGCTTCTATGTAATTGATTCAACTGAAATGTTATATTTTTTCTTTCTCTGTCCAAAAGCAATAAGCCACAATGATATTGCCAAGGATTGAATACTTGAAAAAAAAATAAATAGAATGCATATTTTAATCTGTAGCAGAGGTGCCAAGAATTTCTTTGTTTCCTGAAATTTCCATTTAGTTGAGATTTCTCCAGTATGGATGGTCTCTTCAGAGCTGTTTTTTTCTTACTGTTTATATCCCATGTGCCCTCGGTTCCTCATAGCATGGAATATAATCTAACCAAAGCAACTCACATTCTAAAGAGAGCCACTTTGATATTTTTAAGTTTAAGGTGCACCATACAAAAAAGGTTTTGTTGGCTTACATAAGAATACCCAGGTCTAGATTCAGAGGGTGTCCAGTGTTTTTTGGCAATTATGACTGGAAGATGATGAAGAGATACCCCTTGTATATATTGCTGACTTCCTTGGATATCATGTTGTATCCATGATGTGTGTATTTCTTTAAAAATCTGTCTTGATTCTTTACTTCTTCCTGTTACCACTCATTGGAGTAGCCTTTGTCATACATTAGTATCTCTTACACAGTTTTACACCTGCCTCTCAGCTGAAGGTTTACTTCTGAATTCTGCTAACCAGGACGGGTTGGACAATCCTATCTCTATGTCTTCATTAGATGAGGACTTATGAATTTATGTATATAAAATTCATAGATATGGCCTGCTTTTCTGGAAAGAAGAGACTTAAGTTTTTTATCTTTAATAGTTTCTTAAACTTTTGGTTGCTTTTTTAAAGTTACACTTTACCTTCTGCTTCAATTCCTCATCTAAAAAAGTTGGAATTAATAATAGTGTGAACCTTATGATGATGTGCTAATAAATAAGGTGATTTTTGCAAATTAACCATAGTCCTTGGCATATGGTATGAATCAATATGAAGGTTGCCATTGTAGTTGTTTTTCTTATTATTTTCTGCCAAGATCGTGTGAGATCTAGAAAGGTAAAGATTTCACTGTGACGGAATTAATTTCCCCCTCTGTCTCTTGTTCTTATTTCTTTTTTATTTATTTATTTTTTTTGAGACGGAGTTTCACTCTTGTTACTCAGGCTGGAGTGCAATGGCGCGGTCTCGGCTCACCGCCACCTCCGCCTCCTGGGTTCAGGCAATTCTCCTGCCTCAGCTTTCCTGAGTAGCTGGGATTACAGGCACGCGCCACCATGCCCAGCTGATTTTTTGTGTTTTTAGTAGAGACGGGGTTTCACCATGTTGACCAGGATGGTCTCGATCTCTTGACCTCGTGATCCACCTGCCTCGGCCTCCCAAAGTGCTGGGATTACAGGCTTGAGCCACCGCACCCGGCCTCTTATTTCTCTTTAAATTTAAGAGTCGATTAGAAACTTTCAGAGTTGTTTTTAAAATGACTTTAATCATATTAAAGAATCCTTAGTAGCTGTCACTGAAAGGAACTCCAAAACCTTAGTGAGTCTTGTTTTTCAACTAAGAGGAGCCCCCTGGTTTTTCCTTGCTTCCTGTTGGTCTGACTCTTAAATGATACTGTCTTGTACTCTGCCAAAATGTTTTAATGATGCTACATCTTGTAGTGATTTCCTGATTTTGCATTTTTGTTGTTTTGTTTTTCATTTGCATGTGTGCAAGTCAAAGCTCAATATTTTCTTATAGTATTGGAATGTGGGTAAACCTCATTCATTGTTTTATAAAATAGAAATAGGCCTAGAGGATAATCATCATGATATGTTATCATTTCTCTCTGTTGGTTTATGTTGGGATTTGAGATCTTATTGGCATTGCCTACATTCTCTTAGTTATTAATCTTAGATACTGCTTAAAAGGTTGTTAAGTATTAAAACCTGTCAATGTTTTTCTTGAAGGTGAGTGACCTTTCATTCCATGATTCATTAGCTACTTTCATTGCTATTCTGATAGCACGACAGTGTTTTTCCCTGGAGGACGTCGTGCAGCATGTCGCACTTCCCTCTCTTCTAGCAGCAGGTAAGGCAGCATCCAGGAACATCAGTTGCTATTTCATTGTTGTCTTGATGGAGTTGTTTCTAACATTAAAACACAGGGAAGGGCTGGGCTCGGTGGCTTATGCTGGTAAGCCTACCACTTTTGGAGCTGAGGTGGTTGGATCACAAGGTCAAGAGTTTGAGACCAGCCTGGCCAACATGGTGAAAGGCTGTCTCTACTTAAGAAAAATACAAAAATTAGCTGGACATGATGGTGTGCGCCTGTAATTCCAGTTACTTGGGAGGCTGAGGCAGGAGAATTGCTTGAACCTGGGAGGTGGAGGTTGCAGTGAGCTGAGATTGCACCACTGCCCTCCAGCCTGGGCGACAGATCAAGACTCTGTCTTAAAAACAAACAAACAACAACAAAAACAAAAGCACAGGGAAAGGAGTATTTGAGGATATGTATATTGGGAAATGGTATAGTATCAAGGTAGATACGATATAATTGTAATAGTTGTTTTATACGAAGTAACATGGATCCCCATGAAAACAATGGGAAACGGCTTATGTTATAGTCTGTTCTAAGGAAGCACTAAGATTTCTCAGAAAAATAGCCAGGGCCTTACTTTCTTACTATAAGGTCAGTTTATTTAAATTATTCCAGGAAATTTAGGTGAAGGACTTGTTCCTGAGTGTGTTAGAAAACTTGCTTTTCCAATCCTCCATTCCTAGCTTGTGGAGATGCGGACGCCGAGCCTGGGGCGCGAATGACATGCCGACTCCTGCTTCATCTCTTCAGAGCTCCCCAGGCCTGCTTCTTACCTCAAGCAACGGGTGAGCTGACTGCCGAAGAATCTCATTACCTTTTCGTTGGTAGCTAAAGGGTCCAAAATGACCAAATAGGCTGTCCCTTTCTGTAATTTCTTTCCTAATTTTTTGGGCTTGCCCTGGGGGTAATGAAGGGGTGACATAATACCATTCAGTGAGAAGGCTGTCAGCACTTTCTATCCATGTAATATCAGGATGTATTGAGAAATACAAATCAAGAGTTAATAAGCAATTAAAATACCTCTGCTCTTAGGCCAAACCATGCTGGTGGGCAGCATGGTCCTCTCACGTACTGTGCAGCAGCTTAGGGCAATGGTGATTCATTTATTCTTTTACTCAGTAAAAGGAATAAGGTAACAATTTCGGAGGTGTTGGTCAAGTCTGTTCCTAAAAATCATTTCCATATAGATACACATGTGTCTGTGTGAGAATCAACACAAGTATGTGAAGGTCCTACTAATCTTGTTGATGTGTCTCTCTCAGAAGGAAGGACAGTGATTTAGTTAATAAAAAGAAAAGGGTAAGTGGGGAGGAGTCCTGGCAGTGTTTCTTAGTGAATCCATGAAGCTTCAATTAAAGCAAGCTAATGGCAATTAAGCACTCACAGTCTAACAATGAAAGGCTGACTGCCTGTAAATAATTATAAAACATTGTTAATGACCGGGATGAGACTATTAAAAATTTGTTGTTTTTGTAGGCAAACCTTTCCCTGGAATAAGATCATCTTGTGATAGACACCTCTTAGCTGCTGCTCACAACAGCATTGAAGTGGGAGCTGTGTTTGCTGTCTTAAAAGCAATTATGATGCTTGGTAAGATTATTCTGACCCTAAGCGTCTTGGTTAATCACAAGAAATGAAGGCAAAATAATTTATTCTCAGGTTTAAATCTAGTAATATTATTGGAAACATGATATTGTTTGATTGCTTATTCTCCTGGAAAAATTAGTTGGTTTCTCCCAGACCAAATACATGTCTGTCCCTTATCTACAGTGCCTCTGGGGGAACTTACATATAATATTTTTTATGGTATTTTGGTTGCATAATGCCTCATTCTGATAGAAAATAGGTTCTCAGACCCACAGGGTTGTTTTGCCTTCTTTGGTGGCAGAAATCACACTTTGTGAGAGACAGGGGTGACTTAGTCATCTAACTAAATGTTTACATTTTATCCAGATTATATTTCAGGAGCAGAACACCAGAAAATCTGAGTTTTAATCTTAGTGTTTCTGCTTCTGTTATGACCCTGAACGAGTATATTTCCTTCTAACTTTGCTTTTTGATGACACAGGCAATAGTTGCAATGATGTTGATATTATTGATAAATCAATATTAGATTTCACAATAATATTTTTCATTTAATTCATAATGTCCAAGATGTTCTTTGCCTTCTTATTTGTAAGTATTCTCCTGGACTAGTAGCACTGCCTTTTCAGTTCGTATATAGGGTAATACATTAAAACATTATTCTATAAATCACAAAGGATTTGAATGATTAGAAAGTCTTAAAATCAGACTGCCTAATTCCAGCCTTGGGTACCTTCCTTTTGGCCTTGACTCTTGTGTTCAGAAGGAGCTTACCTTCGTTAGAACAGGAGTTACTGAGTGGATAGGAATTGCTTTAGATGAGTTCTAAATAACATGTTTCGTGCTATAATCTTGCCCTGCTTGGGAAATGTTATTTGGCGATGATGAGGTAGGATAACAGAATTTTCATAGAGCAAACTATTGAAACTTCACCTTAAGAAAGGATACACACACAGGCCTGTGAATTTTGTGGTAAAACGGGAAGGTAGAGCCACATTGAGGACCGTAGCCGCCTCTGAGTGTAGGAGCTTATAGATTTATACAGCCAACATTGAATGCTCATTTCAGTGAGTAAAATTTCCCTACTGTGATCATATCTGAAAGAAAGTCAGCTGGTCAGTTTTACTTGATAAATAAATGTAGAGACCATGAAGATAGGGACTGGCTTTTTTACCTCTGTTATTTCTAGTGCTCATCAGAGAAACTAGCAAAGAATCAGTTTTCAATAAAATTATGTTGAAAGTGTGAATCCATAAGGGACAAATATATTAAAGGCAGAAACCAAGATGAGTACCTTCTAGACATTGGCCCCTTGATTTGTAGGATTGATCTAATCTCAAGTAAAATTTTGCCCACCTCTTTAAATATCCACATAATTTGGAGGATTCCCCGGGTCTAAGAAGTCAGGATCAGGCCAGTTTAATGTCACCAGAGCTTGGAGCCAGGTAGGCACTGAACACTCAATGTGTTCTGTTGTCTATGCAGTTGCGGAAGGTCTGGCACAGACTCTCATTCCTTCTCTGTCATCTTAATATCTAACCTAAGTGAGGCTCTCCTAGTATGGGACTAGTGAAGGTGGCTTTTTCTCTTTCTTTTCTTTTCCTTTATTCTTTTTTCTTACTTGTAGAAGTTCTAATTTATCCACCCCACCATGCCCTAACCAACTCTTTCAATTCCTATCCACCAGGATATATTTTGAGGTAGGGGGTTGGGACTGTTATATCAAATTTGGTTTTTAATTTCTATAATTTAACTCCAGGTACAGAGGTAGTTATTTATATCACCTAACGATAGTGAAACATACTAAATTTTGGTACTTTTAGAATTTAGTCTTTCAACTCCTGAAGTGATCTATTGAATTAAATTAAATCCTGTGGGTAAAGTGAAGTTAGTACTCTGTGTTTATGTTTTAATGAGAGACATATGATTATATCTTGATAAATTGAAATACATTATTTACTCCTCTCCTCCACTTACGATTCTGTAAGTAAATACTCTAAGCCATTCTGATTTTTCAAAATATTTTCAGCAAAGTCAAAACTTTTTCTTGGTTGACTTGTGGGTTTTAAAAGGCCTTTTGCATTAACCTGGGCATCGTTTTGCCCACTTACAGCAGGCAGTGAAGGCCTACTGTAAAATCATTTGTTGGTTCCGGGAAATTTTTTTGTCCAGGCCTCTGATCCTGTGAGTAAACAGGCAATTGCTGTCATTTGGCAATACTTATTTTAAATTTTTATTGCTCTCTCAGTTTTAAAATGTGATAGTTATTTGTCTTTCATGGCTAGAGATTTCTTATTTCTATCTATTCAAACATTCAGTTTAGTTTCTTTCCCAGAACTTTGTTACGAGGAAAATACTTTCCTTAGTTTCATTTCACTAAGTATATTAGAGATTTATCAGGTAAGGTTTTCTAATTTGTAAGATACAGAGAGGAAGGTGAAAAACAGGGGTTATTCAATGAATGCCCTACTTTTCAGGGCTTCCTTAGTATGCATTGCCCTTTTCCATTCCCAGGGAAATAAATCTCTCTTGTCAAGAAGTTGATAGTAAGGTGGGCTAAGGCAAAACTTTTCTCTTGACCTATGGATAGAAACTAAGTCATTGTAAGAGAAGAAATGGAAAAGGGACATCTAGAAGGGTGAGTAACCCATTTTTTCCTTGTCTATAAGTCAAATGAATTTGAATACATTCGTGCTTGAAATATGGTGAAACCAGTGTTATGTGATTATTCAGTGTGATTCATAATGACCTTTCCAAGTTTGGTGAAAATATAATTATACAAACAAAATGAGGACCGAGTCTCAAACTTGCTTTTTCTCCATTTCTGATAGAAGCTACTCTGGGTTCATGCATTTATTCTCTTGATCCATTCTTTCTATTCCTGAACAACTGGCTATTCAATAATAATACTATTCACACATTTTAAATCTCTGAAAGCTATCCTCATTTGCTCCTCAAATATTTGGCAATATTTTGAACTTCTGTGATTTTGCTTTTGTGATTCTATTACTTAGGAGATGCCAAAATTGGCAATAACAGTGTCAGCTCTTTAAAGAATGACGACTTCACTATGAGAGGTTTACGATGTGATGGGAATGCTGATGATATCTGGACTGCCTCACAAAATCCAAAATCCTGTGGGAAAAGCATTTCCATAGAAACTGCCAATTTAAGAGAATACGCTAGATATGTGCTGAGGACTATCTGTCAACAGGTATTCTGATTTAATTTGCCTTTTACTATGAATATGTAACTCTTCTTTTGGAGAAAGCTACTTACACTTGTAGGAAACTTGTGCGTACGTGGAGTCCTTTTTTTCTTGCTCACTTTATTTTGAAATAATTTTAAGTTTGCTGAAGAGTTGCAAGAATTATTTTTTAAAAACTTATGTCCATCCTTTACGCAGATTTACTAATTTTTACGTTTTGCTACATGTGCTTTGTAATTTGTATGTGGAAATGTGGGTGCATATACCTATTTTTTTCTCAGCCATTCATTTAAGAGTAGGTGCTACATTTCTTTACTTTTGAATACTGCATTATTTCATAACATAACCAAAATATAGCTATTAAACATCAGAAAATTTAGCTTTTGGTACAGTAATTTTTTCTCATCTATAGGCCACAGTTCGATTTTGTTATTTGTCCCAGTATTGTTGGATTTGTCTGAGGGTTCCTGTAGATTAGCTTCAGATTATGCATCCCTGGCCAAGATACCACAGAAGTAATCTTGAGTTCTTTCAGGTAATCATGTCCAAAGGCATGTGATGTCTATTTGCACCTCAAGGATGATGATACTTTTGATTACGTTGTTTCCATTGCACAGTTTCAAGATTTCTCCACCGTATAGTTACTGATTTTCCCCTTGCAATAAACAGTCTTTGAGGAGATACTTCGAGACAGTGCAGATTTTCTTCTCCTCGTCTAACTCCCCCACACCTCATAAGCATTCATTTTCATCTTGCCCAATCTCGTCTTTACTATGGTTGCAAAATTTTATTTTTTCCCCCAACTCGTACTCTCCCTCCACAATAGCAATTTGTGTCCTAATTTAAGGGGGTTTCAGACAATTCTCATGCCTCAGACTCCCAAGTAGTGGGGATAACAGGCATGTGCCACCTAGAGCCTGCCCTTCTCCCCTATTCATCTATTATTATAATATACTGTACTTAATTATTTTCATGTTTAGACTGTCCCAGATTTGTCCAGCAGAAATCTATTCATCCTGTCACATTATTTGACATTTAAAAATTATATAGTATTTTCATATTTTCTGGCCCATGTAGTACTTTCTCTGCCTTGGGCCTGGAATCACCTGTTCCTCCAAGGAGACCCTGGTTCTTTTTAGCAGAGAATGGTACTTAGAAACCGAGGAATTTTGGGTACTCTGTGTGCTCATGGCTATGGAGTGTTATTAATTCTAGGACCCATCAGCAGACAAAGCAAGGAAGAAAATGACATCCATATACATAAATATGTGTAAATACCTATATTTATCAGTTCCTACTGATACCTTCAATCCCAATCCAACCTCACAAAGTTGTTCTACACTTTTGCCTATTTCATGTTAGTATCACCTTCTTCTGTGTTTCCCAATGCTGATTCCCAAAACCGTCATCTTACTTGTTTGTTTAATTCTATAATACATCTGAAATACTTTTAGAAATGTTACTCATGGCTGGGTATGTTAAATGTGCCATCCAATGCTTTGTGAAACAATGATTAATTAAAATACAGTATCAAAAATGTACACTAGGCCAGGGCGCGATGGCTCATGCCTATAATCCCAACACTTTGGTAGGCCAAGACAGGCGGTTCATGTGAGGCCAGGAGTTTGAGACCAGCCTGGCCAGCATGGTGAAACCCCATCTCTACTAAAAATACAAAAATTAGACAGGCATGGTGGTACATGCCTGTTATCCCAGCTACTTGGGAGGCTGAGGCATGAGAATTGCTTGAACGTGAGAGGTGGAGGTTGCAGTGAGTTGAGATTGTGTCATTCCACTTCAGCCTGGGTAAGAGAACGAGACTCTTGTCTCAAAAAAAAAAGGACATGTTTTAGTTCCATTTTCTCTAAGGATTTAAAATATTGTGTCTAAAAATGATCTGAACTTTTCCCATCCCTGTGAATATATTCTTCATCTGAAATAGAACTAGGTTCATTTAGTTTTGCATTGTTTAAATTCCTTTCTTGCCCCTAGCTCTGTCTATAAGATAGCTTACTTAAGTCAAACTATACAAATAAGTATACTCAGAGATGTGTTCTTCCGTATCTCTCTTACCAGATGATCCAGTTTTATTACTTTTTGGTTTATTCTCACCCCTATGTTTTTTTTTTTTAATTCTCTTTTCTTATTAAAAGAAGTGACATACATTATATATTAATTTGTACTTGGCTATAGATGTCATGTCGACTGGGTCATGTTTTTGTATTTTACAGGCATGTTGTAACTGTGGTAAAAATTAGCTACACAGTCATATTGGTGTGGAGAGGCAGTTGTGCATTGGTTTCTAACTATGAGTTCATATTGGAATCACCTGGGGCATTTATAAGAATTTGGATGCCTAAAAAATTACTGATATCTGGGTGCCACCACCTGAGTTTGATTTAATTAGTCTGATGTGGGCCCTGGGCATAGACCCCAGGTCGTTTTAGTGGGCAGCCATACCACTGGTGTGGTGTTTAAGAAACAGACTTCATCCAAAATAGATCAGGGTTCAAATTGGGCTCTGTTATTGCTGGTGATTTCTTATCTTATTTAGTAAAATAGTTTGCCTTTGAAAAAATGGTAAAGAAAAGATAATAGGAGTTTAAATTGGTAGAAACTCTTCAAAGGGTAATTAGTCACATACATCTATAGCCCCCACTCCTGCTCACACTGGACCCAGCAATTGCACTTCTATGATATTACCCTAAGAAAATTATTGTATAGAAAAGAGATGTGCATGAATACTTATAATGATAACATTTATAATAAGTATCAAAAAGGAAGATAGTTCTCTAAATATTTATTATACTGTGTTCTGTCCAGTGGGATAGTACAATGTATTCCATAAAAATTGAAGAATATATATCTGATAGAATCATTACATAACAAGTTAGAAAAAAACTGACACAAAATAGTACCTAGAGCAATACCTCACTTTCAAGTTAAAAACACACTAAAATTCCCTTTATTGTCTTTCCTTTTCTTTTCTCCCTTTAAAAATTTTTTTTAAGCAAGGTTCTACTTTTTATTTTTTAGAAGTCAAAATGCTAGAAATTTTGTTTTTAAAACTTTTCTACCTACTTTATTCATATAGTTTGTTAAATTGGAAAATTCCTGTCAGTTTTATATTCAATTATGCATTGTGGATTTAGTGCATATTGCATACATATACTGAAAGCCAGTGCCTGTCAATCTAATTGCCATATTATTTTTAGGAATGGGTAGGAGAGCATTGCTTAAAAGAACCTGAAAGATTATGTACAGACAAAGAACTTATATTGGACCCAGTGCTTTCAAATATGCAAGCACAGAAATTACTGCAGCTTATCTGTTATCCTCATGGCATTAAAGAATGTGCTGAGGGGGACAACCTGCAAAGACAGCACATTAAGCGTATTCTTCAGGTAAGTGGCATGAAGAGTGTGTTTCTGTCATTTGGCAAATTCTTTGTGATTATAAAAAGAGTTACTGTCTTTTTTTGTACTTGCTAATTCCTGACTTAAATTAATTCTGATTTTTATTCCCCACCTTTCTGTGGAATTGCCATACTTTATTTCTGGGTGGATGTACATGCTGCAAATTGTATATAATCATCAAACAAATATTGATATTTTAAGTCGGTATTGTATTTACACGAGAAATATGCTTCAGATAAGAGCTGTGTTAAATATCTTATTAAAGAAATATTGGCCGGGCGCGGTGGCTCAAGCCTGTAATCCCAGCACTTTGGGAGGCCGAGGCGGGTGGATCACGAGGTCAAGAGATCGAGACCATCCTGGTCAACATGGTGAAACCCCGTCTCTACTAAAAATATAAAAAATTAGCTGGGCATGGTGGCGCGTGACTGTAATCCCAGCTACTCAGGAGGCTGAGGCAGGAGAATTGCCTGAACCCAGGAGGCGGAGGTTGCGGTGAGCCGAGATCGCGCCATTGCACTCCAGCCTGGGTAACAAGAGCGAAACTCCGTCTCAAAAAAAAAAAAAAAAAAAAGAAAAAGAAATATTGAGGCCGGTTGCAGTGGCTCATGCCTGTAATCCTAGCTAGCACTTTTGGAGGCCGAGGCAGGTGGATTGCCTGAGCTCAGGAGTTTGAGGCCAACCTGGGTAACATGGTGAAACCCCGTCTCTACTAAAATACAAAAAGTAGCCGGGCATAGTGGCATGCACCTGTAGTTCCAGCTATTCGCGAGGCTGAGGCAGGAGAATGGCTAGAACTTGGGAGGTAGAAGTTGCGGTGAGTTAAGATCACACTACTGCACTCTAGCCTGGGCAACAGAGTGAGACTCTGTCTCTTTAAAAAAAAAAAAAAAAAGAAAGAAATATTGAAATCATTTTGGAATGGGATTGGTTAAATATATTTTGAAAGGAAAAATGCCTATTTAGTTTCAGTGCATAGCTGAGTCAGGCACAGTTTTAACTGTTTATTTAATAATTAGTGTTTCTATTTATTTGTTTGTATCTCTACTTAATAGATATGCTACAAGATTTAGAACCTTTGGACCCATATAAATTATTTTATTGTGTATGGTTATTCTGCTCTTTCTTCACAAAATAAGTAATATAAGGAATTACTGTATTTTAACACATTTGGTGTCTATTATTCTTTCGATTTTTTCCCAGAATCTTGAGCAGTGGACACTGAGGCAATCCTGGCTAGAACTCCAGCTAATGATCAAACAGTGCTTGAAGGACCCTGTGAGTTTATATTGAAAGCTTATCTATGTATACAATTTTATGAAAAGCAAAAAAAACACATTGATGTTTGAGGATAAAGGAATACACATATGTGCCAGTGTTCTTATATCTAACTCTAGGGCTCTGGTTCTGTGGCTGAAATGAACAACTTACTGGACAATATTGCAAAGGCAACAATAGAGGTATTCCAGCAGTCTGCAGAGCTAAATAATAATTCCTCTAATTCTGGCATGAGCCTCTTCAACCCAAACAGTATTGGAAGTGCTGATACAAGTAGCACAAGACAGAATGGAATAAAGACGTTCCTAAGGTATTTTTGTCTGTTGTTTTATTGATCTATCATGATTTTTTCACAAGTAACAGTAATTTTGTGTAGCACAGTGATTTTTCTTTAAGTCACAGGAATGTGAAGAATATAGTTACTTGTAACTGATGATTATCATTATTTTAATAAGTCAGTGAGTAAGGCTAGAGTGGATGATACGTTCATATTTGGAATATTTGATTGAGTTGGCGTAGACACCTTAAAACTGCAGGTGAACTCAGGTTTGGTTCATGCCTTCCGTGTCCCTTCGTCTACTATGTTACATAGTATTCATCATATGGGACATGCTTTTTTCTACCATTTTTATTAATTTACCATTTTGCACATATATATTCTAGTAATTTCTGTTCAGAATTAGAACCAGTAGGCATATGAAATCTTAAAGTAATTATTTAATCATGAAAGGCAGATTGATTTGTATTTCAGCATTTTGGTATAAAGTATATCTAGCAAATTTTAAACTTTAAAAATTAGCTATTAGTATGCTTCATATAAAAACATTTCATATTGTAATGTGACAGAAAGTACATTGCTTGTTGGACAAAATGATTGTTTTTAATCAGAGACAGAGGGTCCTAGGAAAACATTACATAACAGTTTCATTACACTAGCCTTCCAGAACTGCATGCTTTATTGCTTTCTGTAAGCATAGGTGGAAGCCTCATGCAAATGCCTGGTGTTTGGAAAAAGGAAAGATAATATACAAATAAAAGGGAAATTTTAGCACAGTCTGTGTGTCTTGTACATCAAAGTCTGGCTTTGGAGTTTCTTTTGTAACTGTGGGAGAGGAGGAAAGGTTGCTTTCTCTGATGTAACACCTGTTTCTGATTTTAGTTCCTCTGAACGAAGGGGCGTATGGTTGGTGGCCCCTCTCATTGCCAGGCTGCCAACTTCTGTGCAAGGAAGAGTGCTCAAAGCTGCTGGGGAAGAGCTGGAGAAGGGGCAGCACTTGGGTTCTTCTTCCAAGAAGGAAAGGGACAGACAGAAACAGAAAAGGTACGGCTGGAAGATGTGCGTTTGTGTGAGCGTTTAAAGAATGATTGAGAACATCTCTCTTCCTGTAAACCTGTGTGGTCATTGCACCCACAGTCCACTGAAATTTAGTTTTTAAATGGAACTGGAAATACTCTGTTAGGCCAGGCTGTCTTATTCCCAGGAAGTTTCAGGTTGTAATCCTTAATACGTTAGTTCTCAACTCTGCCTTTATATCCGAATCACTGCTGAACTGTTAAAAATAGTGACTCTGAAACCTGCTTTAGACCAACTGAATCAGATCTGGATAGCTACGTGATCCCTGTATTTTATTTTTAATTATTTCTAATTTTTTCTATTATTTACATATTTATGTGTAAAATATATGTAATTTATAATTCTGGCATGCTGATATCTGAAATAGTTGATCATATTTTTAATATTTAGGGCTCCTGTTCTAGACTAGACATTAAAACTCCTAAGCCACCACAACCGTTTTCTTAATTTATTTTATGCCCAAGAAAAGGTTTCAAGTAATTATATTTGAAAACCTTGTCACTGAGAAAGAAGGAAACCTCACCCTAATATGAAAATGCCATGAAACCTAGGAATTAAGAGGAAAAAATTGATAATTTCTTCCATTAAAATAATATTTTAAGCCTGTAGGTTTCTTATCCCCTAATGAATAATACCATAGTAACCACCATTTATTGACCTCTTACAAAATGGCACCTTCTCTATAAAACTCATTATGTATGGGACCTTTTAAGATTCTCATTACAATCATGTGGCAATTACTCTCATTATCTTCTTTATATCACGTTGAAACGGAGGTACTTAAATGTTACATGAGGCCGGGCGCGGTGGCTCAAGCCTGTAATCCCAGCACTTTGGGAGGCCGAGACGGGTGGATCACGAGGTCAAGAGATCGAGACCATCCTGGTCAACATGGTGAAACCCCGTCTCTACTAAAAATACTAAAAAAATTAGCTGGGCATGGTGGCGTGTGCCTGTAATCCCAGCTACTCAGGAGGCTGAGGCAGGAGAATTGCCTGAACCCAGGAGGCGGAGGTTGCGGTGAGCCGAGATCGTGCCATTGCACTCCAGCCTGGGCAACAAGAGCGAAACTCCGTCTCAAACAAAACAAAACAAAACAAAACAAAACAAATGTTACGTGAGTTGCTCCAGGACACACAGCGAAGGACATAAAGCCTGGGTTGCAATCCAGGAGGTCTGGCTGCTGAGCCTGTGCTCTTAACTGCAGTACATTTTGGTAGAGACCCAGCATTGTATGTACTTTATTTGTTTTTCATCTGGTTGTTTTTACCATCTTTGCCAGGATTAATTAACCAACAAGAAGGCATAATTTTAATTTTCAAATCATATTTGCTAGTAAGCGAGTTTGCATTGCCTTACATCCCACAGGCAGGACAGATGGTATTGAAGAAACTTGAAAGAAAGCTCTTCCCATGTCAGGGGCTCTCCATTCTGCCCATGTAGGATGACACTTACTGAAATATTTTGGCCTAGGTCTCGTTTTAAGAAATTTTTCTTTCCAACATGGCATTTCATTTGTCAGTATGATTTGTTGATTGCTCTCTAATTGAAGACGTTTTGTTAAAATGCCAATTTAAAACAGAACTTTTAACCAGATGCCTCGACACACCTCTACCAGTGGAGGCTGGCTGGGGGCTGTGGTGGAGCACCCAAACCCACTGTTTTTTGGCATCAGTCCTGGCTGCTAAATTAGCTCTACTAACACTAGAGGTCGCCAGCAAGCACACCGATTTTGGAGTCAGTCCTGGCTGCTAAATTAGCTCTACTAACACCCTGCTTTTTGGTCTTGGGAAATGTGCTGAAAAACAAAATCAAACCCCAAAACAAGCTCAGTAGATGTATAGGCCTATTTTCTCAGACTCGAAAACAAGTTTTAATATGAGAACTTTAAAAATTTTTGATTTTATCCTGTGTATAAATTGATATTCTTGCTGATATATATTTTAAAATTCTGCGTATTATTGTAGAACATGAATTCACTGTCTTCTACTCTCACTGCCTGGCATGCTCACATACAGTATGGATTGATGCTGGTTTGAAAATGGCCTCGAGGGCAATTAGAGCATACTAAGTGATTTAGAAGCATTACTGTGGCTTTTCATCTTATAAGTAGAGGGATGATTTAAATTTTCAAGCAGTCTTTGGCTGTTTACCACCACCCTTATTTATCTAATAGTGAAATAAATAAGAACAAATAATCTGAGGCAAAGAAATGAATGTTGCCAGAGGAAGTAATGCATTATTTCTAACTAGATCTGCTGTTACTGCTTCCTTTGTAGTATGTCTCTTTTGAGTCAACAACCCTTCCTCTCACTGGTACTTACCTGCCTTAAGGGACAAGATGAACAAAGGGAAGGCCTCCTAACATCTCTCCAGAATCAAGTTAACCAGGTAAAGTATAGTATAATATTAAGCCAGACAAATATCTTTCTAATGACATTCATTTATTTGCCTTTCAAATACTGAGATTAAACTTTAAGGGCCAGGCGCAGTGGCTCACGCCTGTAATCCCAGCACTTTGGGAGGCCAAAGCTGGCGAATCACCTTAGGCCAGAAGTTTGAAGCCAGCCTGACAACATGGTGAAACCCCATCTCTACTAAAAATACAAAAATTAGCCAGGCATGGTGGCGTGTGCCTGTGATCCCAGCTACTCAGGGGGGCTGAGGCGGGAGGATTGCTTGAACCCAGGAGGCAGAGGCTGTAGTTAGCTGAGATCATGCCACTGCACTCCAGTCTGGGCAAAAAGAGTGAAACGCCATCTCAGAAAAAACTCACAACTAATAAGGGTACAAAATATTTTGATTAGACGCTAAGAACAATCCATGTCCTATTCTTCTACCTGGCATTTTAGATACCACAAGATGAACAACTTTATGTTACTGATACGTACAATAAATGTGTACAGCCTAGAAGAGTAAAACTTTACACATTACATATGACTTTGAAGTACCTGCTCCTTTCCTAACCCTGCCTCATCGGAGAGGATCTGGAGTCATCTGTGCTGTAGCAGGCAAGGCAGTGAGTCCAGCTCCTCAAGCTTGGAAGCCATGTTATCAGGCACAGTCCCAGCTTGAAGTCTGTAGGTTCAGGAACTGAGTTTTATTGATGGCAGCCAAGTACACAAGAAATAATCAGAAGGCGTATTGATTTATTTAGAAATAATTTGGACGTTGCCTTTTCACCAGACACAGTTCTCCTGGTTGCTGTTTGGGACTCTTGCATCTATGTACTGTAAGAAAACTGAGCTTGCACAGTAGAAATTGGAGAGCATGGAATCAAGCAAAGTGGATAGCTTGGCCTCGTGAGGTGTTTTATCCTGATGCAGAGCCTGATCGACCCCTTGTTGTGGTGCTGTGTTTCCGTGATACCATGTCTTTCCCTTGAATGGTGCTGGATGGACATGGACAAGGACACGTGTTTGATCCTCTTGTTATTTCTCGCCATTTAGATAGGAGAGATCTAGCAGAGCTCTACAGAGAGCAGTTGTAGTGAACCTTTTCTTTTTCCCATTTGCCTCCCCTTTTCCTTCCCTTTGTCCCTCCCCTTTGCCTTTATTCCTTCCCGTTTCCTCCCGTGTATCCTCTTTTCCTTGCCCTTTCGTTCTCCCCGTTTTTCCCCTTTTCCCTTTTCGTTTCACTCTCCTTTCCCCCTTCCCGTTATTTTACCCTTTCCTCCCCTTTCCCTCCCCTCTCCCTCCCCTTTTTCCCGTTCACCTCCCCTTTCACCTCCTTTTCCTTTCCCTCCCATTTTCCCTTTCCCTCTTTTCTTCTCTTTCCTCTCCTTTTTTTCCTCCCTTTTCACTCCCCTTTGCTCTTCTTTTTCCTCCCCTTTTTTCTTTTTTTACTCCCCTTTCTCATATCGTTTCCTTTTCCTCCCCTTTTTCCTTCCCTTTTTCATCTTTTCCCTCCCCTTTTGCTCCCTCTCCCCATACTTTTCCTTTCCCTCTCCCTTTTCCTCCCCTTTCCCCTCCCCTTTCCTCCCTTTTCTCTCCGTTTTGTCCCCTTTACCACCTTTTTCCTCCCTTTTTAAATGTAAGTCATATATGACCTCTGTATATCTAGCATAAAAATTCTGGCTTACAAGGCTAGACACGATTTGACACCGGCTGTCCCTCCTACCTTGTCTCCTACCAATCGTGACCCTCCTTGCTTCACTGTTGTTACACTGGCCATGTTACTTTTCCTTGAACTTGCTGAGCAACTGCTCCTTTCAGCGTCTGTGCATCTTTTCTTCCCTTTAGGTGGAAAGATACCCTCCCAGATACTAGCTTGACCTGCTCCTTTACTTCATGTCTCTGTTAAGATGCTACCTCCTTTGGGAAGCCTTCATCACCCTCTAAAAATAAGACCACAGCCATTCTTTATACCATTGCCCTGCCTCATACCACTTGTTACACTTAGTTTTATTTGTCCCACTACTATTATTTGAACTCCATGAGAGCTTGTTGTTTAGTTAACTGCCTTGCCCCCTTAAGACACCCTTGAGGAGAGGTCCATTTCTTTTGATGAGATTTGGGAAGTGCTTTCATCTCACCAGGCAGGGTATTTACAGGTTATCTGTTGACATGGAGTACTTCTGCATGTGACTCATTTCAGCTCTTTTGAGATGACTCTCATTAACAACCGTATTTCAGAGCATGGAAGGGTTTTTGTTGTTGGTTTTTTTTGTTTTGGTTTGCACTTTTTTTTGCTCATGTCATCTGATTCTAGGATGTTGCCCACTTGTGGCTCCCTTTTCTAAGCAAATTTTTTCTTTTCCAGCATTTGTATGAGTCAGTGAGGAAATGAAGAAATAGCCCACTTTAAAAACTGATAAGCCAGTTGACTGAGGACTACAATCCCATATTTTTCAAAATACTGTACCTTCTCTTTATGAAGGAAGACAAATCCATAAGATAGCAGACCTCCTCTTCTATAAAACATCAAAATAATGCATTTCCTAGGGTTCACAGCATGTCCCCAGAAATATAATACAGGACTGATACAAAATGTAATTCTTTCTCTCCAGTATTTTTCTTCATAAGACCAATGAAGTAATGTATTTTTTAAAGTTTTTATTAATGCTTAATTTGATGACACTCTAACGCATTTTCCCAGGCCTAATCATAGTCTATATAATTAAATAAGATTTTTTTCTTCCACCTAGAAAGGCAGATGCACAAATAAATAGCCAGATTTCTGTCTACGTGGAGATAGAAGAAAGCTAAAATTTTATTTAGCTTCATTTGTTAATTTGTTAAAGAAGTTGTTTTTTGCTATCAGTATAAAAGCTCAATTCATCTTTAAATGAGAGAAAAATTCAACTTTAATGGGGAGAAAAATATTTGTTTTTCCTGATCCTAGATTTTAAGTAACTGGAGAGAAGAACGATACCAAGATGACATAAAAGCACGACAGATGATGCATGAAGCATTACAACTTCGCCTAAATTTGGTAAGAAATATTTTTAGTATTTTCCCTCCATTAAACACATCTACATGTGAAAGTAACTCCAGCTTTCAACTTCTTCTAAGTGCAAAGTCTGCATTACAAGGTGAGGCCTTCCGTTCTTTGTTCTCTGTAACTACTTCCCTGTTTCTAAAGCCTTCTGTTTCCTTTGCTACTTTCCTTCCTGTCTGGTCATACTTCTAGACAGTGCTAGTTATTTTAAGCATTGATTTGCCTTCTATACCTCCTACCCCAATGAATCTCTCCTTTTCTTCAGTTTGCACTAAGGGTAGGTCTGAGAAGACTATTTTAAGATAAGTGTTAGCTTCTAATTTAAAACCATTTAAAACATCCTTTAACTCAAAGTTTTGTCCCATCAAATTAATTATAAAGGCAAATCCCACAGAGAAATTGTATAGAAATTTAAAATTTCTCACATGTTGTGCATTCCTTTGAGTTTTTCTTTTCTCATCAGGCAGGCCCAAGTGCAGGCCCCTCTAGAGGATGGCCTGCCTGATACTTGTGTAGTTATTTCTAACCTGGTCCCGACATGTGAACTGGTAGGACTGCGTATCAGGCCTCCTGCCCATCACTGCTGTAATAGTGGATGTCTCCATATGGTATTACCATAGCAGGCTTAGATTCAATAGTAATTGTACAGCAAACACAAAGTTGCAGATAATTGGATCACATAATTTTGACACTATTCAGGTTTAATTCAACTATAATTGCATCATAAAAAGGGACATCATAAAAGATTAGGAACAAAAGTTACTTTAAATTTTGCCTACTTCCCTTCTTCATTTTATTTAATTTTTGAATGACTGAACCGTGCTGAAAGAACTAAAAATAGTGATAAACATGTAGTTATATGAGAGAAAAGATAGGATAATCCATAAATTAGAGCATCCCTTCTTGTTGTTGCTGTTGTTTAAAAAACAAAAACGAATTTAAATTTGGCCACATAAAGCAATGGGGTGTTATTTTCTGTTTTACAGAATGCACATGTTTTACTGTATTTTGTCTGCTAGGTAGGAGGAATGTTTGACACGGTACAGAAGAGCACCCAGTGGACTACAGATTGGGCCCTCCTTCTCCTTCAGATCATTACTTCAGGAACTGTTGACATGCACACTAACAAGTATGGCTTTATCATTTCACATTTTGCTACATGTATGCATGGTATAAGCTTTGATATACTGATGACAGTTTCTGTCACATCTTATTTACTTGGGTACTATTAAAAATTCTGTGCTTTTAATACAAATGCTCAGTTTCGCTTTAAGATGAAAATAATTGTTTTCTTTCTTTTCTCAGTGAATTATTCACAACGGTTCTTGACATGCTGGGTGTTCTCATCAATGGAACATTAGCCTCTGACCTATCAAATGCATCCCCAGGGGGATCTGAAGAGAACAAGCGTGCATACATGAATTTAGTAAAGAAACTGAAAGTAAGTTTGAGATAAGCCTTTATTATGAGCTCAAGTTGTTTATGAATTTATTATCTAGTGCATTTTAATCTACTCATTAAATTAAATGTTAACGATTGTATTCAACTTAATTTAATGTGATTATTTGCTGTTTGTTTCATCTAACCTTATCGGTACCCAGAAGTTAACAAGCACATAACCTTGATTATTTTTTATTTAAAAATTATGATATATGTTTAATTTTTTAAAGAACTTTAGAAATCCACTGTTAAATATATAACCAAAATATTAACATTAGATAGATTTATCATAACTCTATGCTTGGACTGGCATGTGCCAGTCCAGCCATAGCCATTTGCATTGAAATTTGTAAATCTATTCATTTGACCGCGGACAGAATCTTTGAAACAAACTTTAAGAAAACAGTGCAAAAAAGAAAACAAACAAATCTGATGCATTAACAATCAAATAAATCAATGGTTACCTTGTAATCTGACCCTGGACATGAGAAAGTGTTCTGTTCTGCAGCTCCTGCCTTCTGATTGTGATCGCTATCCTGGATTGTTGTCATTTCAGCACTATGATGTTTGTTGTGTAACAACAGTGGCTTTGTATGTATTCTGTTTTCTATTTAAATAGAAGAAATGAAACACTCAGTACTCTATTTGGAACTGCCTCAAAGACCATGTTCAGGGTTAAAGAACATGTGCTGAACTATAAAAAGGGAAATGTTTCATAGGGGAACTTCCTTCTGGTTAACTTTTGCCTTTATTGTAATTTCTGTCCCATTTTTCACTCACTCTCTCTCTTTTTTCTTTAGAAAGAGCTCGGAGACAAGCGATCAGAAAGTATTGACAAAGTTCAACAGTTACTACCTTTGCCGAAACAGACATGTGATGTCATCACTTGTGAACCTATGGGTTCCTTGATTGACACCAAAGGAAACAAAATTGCTGGTTTTGACTCTATAGATAAAAAACAGGCAAGAGTAAATGTTTTTTTCTCCTATATAAATTTATTTACACAAAAATCAAATACTTTTTCTGGTCTTACCGTAGGCTATATAAAATATCTCAGCTTCACTGTTGATTTTTAAAGGCGTATTCTTGTCTTCGAAGTGCACTTAGTCATTGGCATTATCATATAATGAGGTCATATCTTTGAAGATCTTCGATTTAAATGTTTTTAGGACTTAAGATGTTTCCCTGAATTTAAGCAAATTTCTGAAATCTACCAAGAGAAAACTCAGTAAAGCTTAGTGTAAAAAGAAAAAAGCTAAAATAAGTTCTGATTTTACTTCAAATTTAGAAGTGGAATATATTTATCAATAAAAATTTTTTTGTAAGCTGTGCATGGTGGCACATGTCTTTAGTCCCAGCTACTTGGGAGGCTGAGGCAAGAGGATTGTTTGAACTCAAGAGTTTAAGGCTGCAGTGGGCTATGATCATGCCTATTAATAGCCACTGCACCCCAGCCTGGGCAACAAAGTAAGACCCTGTCTCTGGGGAAAAAGAAAATTCTTCATGTAGTAAGCTATTTCAAATAAAAATTATTAGGATATTCTCTATTCTTATCAAAAGTATTTAATAGACGTATTTTATGTAAGAAGATATTAAAGAAGGTTCTCTAACATATGAGAAGAGTGGTCAGATATTCTTTTAATGAACATTGAGCAACCACAGACATTCCACAGTCACCAAGATGGAAGACAGAGTTCTTACCCTCAAGGGGAAGGTAGACAATTACAGTATAATGAGATTTGTGTGTCATGGTACAGAGAGAGTATTAGGTGATAGAATAGGGTCCCCAGGAAAATGGACATGAGTCATTTTGAAGGATTAAAAGTTAGCTGGGAGGTAGGGAAAATTGTGGTACAAATAAAGGGAGAGTTTTTATGAAGACATGAAAGAAGGAGACATACCAGGGAATTTAGAGTAGCTTGAGAATCTAGTACCAATTTGTGGAAAGAAAAAAAGCTAAAGTCATGGTCAAGTTGAGTTTGTAGTGTCAGTGGACTTCCTGGTAGTAAAACGTGGAATCCGTGTGGATGTGTGTGTTTTAAACTAAGGAGAAAGTTCTCATCTCAAGAGAAATATTAGGAAACATTCAATTTACAGGTGTTAATTGAACCTTGGTTTTATTTTATTTTATTTTGTTTTTTATTTACTTATTTATTTATTTTTGAACTGGAGTCTTGCTCTGTTGCCCAGGCTGGAGTGCAGTGGCATGATCTTGGCTCCCTGTGACCTGCATCTCTTGGATTCAAGACATTCTCTTGTCTCAGCCTCATGAGTAGCTGGGATTACAGGCACATGCCACCACACCTAGCTTATTTATTTATTTATTTATTTATTTATTTATTTTTATTTTTAATAGAGACAGGGTTTCACCACATTGGCTAGGCTGGTCTAGAACTCTTAACCTCAGGTGATCCACCTGCCTCGGCCTCCCAAAGTGTTGGGATTGCAGGTGTGAGCCACTATGCCCGGCCTGAACCCTAATTTTAGATGAAACTACTCATAAGAATTAAGTATAGATGACAATAGTAACACGAATGACTGAGTAGTTATTTGCGGGGACACTTAAAGGAAAAATATTTTTAAATTTGCATTTTAAGGAAAGTGCCAAGAGATGGCACCCATCAATGTTAAGAATAAAAACAGAGTAAGAGTTGTTTTTTCTAGAGTCAGTAAAGATAAGCTTTGAGAAGTGAAAGACTTTACTTACGCCTGCTGCTATAATTTAATTCTCTAATAATAATAATATATTCAGAGATTGGCTTATTAAGTTCAGAACCCCCATATTGAGCCAAGTTCATACAGATTTGTATTGAAGTTGATACAAACCCAATTAGAGGTTGACTATAACTTCACTCTTAAATTTGATATTATCTTAAAAAGTATAAATAGATAACAGAGATTTAGAACTGCTTATAATTTAGTAAGATTAACTTTGCAGTGTTAGAATTTTTTGCAAAACTTTTTAGAATTTTTTATTAGCAAAAATAGGAAATATACATTCACAGTAAAATATCCTAGATTGTCTTGTGTTGCCTAAACAGCATCATGTGGTATAAAAGACTTTAGAACTGTGCTTCTAGGTCTGAATCTAGCCACTGCTCTCCAGTGACATCGCTGTGTAACCCTCTCTGCTGTATTCTTGGGTTCTCTATGGCTCATGCCAGCTAAAATGTTCTCTGAATCCATGACCTATACAAGCCTGGCCTATGAATCAGGAAAAGATCGGAGTGTGCTGTCATAGAGCGCTGTTTTCCTACAGGGTCTCCAGGTCTCTACGAAGCAGAAGGTGTCCCCGTGGGACTTGTTTGAGGGTCAGAAGAACCCAGCTCCTCTGTCGTGGGCCTGGTTCGGGACAGTCCGAGTAGACCGAAGAGTGATCAAGTATGAGGAGCAGCATCACCTCCTGCTGTATCACACACACCCCAAACCCAAGCCCCGCAGCTACTACCTCGAGCCACTGCCCCTGCCTCCTGAGGAGGAAGAGGAAGAGCCTACATCTCCAGTTTCTCAGGAACCAGAAAGGAAGTCAGCTGAGTTATCAGATCAGGGAAAAACCACAACAGATGAAGAAAAGAAAACAAAGGGAAGGAAGCGCAAGACGAAATCCAGCTCGAGAGTTGATGTAAGTGGGGGAGGAACCTTGGCTCTTTAGCATTTAACATGAGATTTACTTGTGCCCAAATCATATCCCTAGAAATGTTACCAAGAGCAGGATAAGTTTTGTTATGACAGTTCTCCTAACAGGTTTCTGCAGTAATTAACTGAATGGCACACAATGACTTGTCACAGACAGTCAGATTAAAGCTTTTGATTTTCCTCACTTTTAATTATTTTATTTTATTTTAGGCTTCCATTGTGATGTTTAGTTAATATTTCAGTGCCTCCCAATTTCCTCAGGTTTGAAACTTGAATTTTTTAGAACAATGCAATCCCAAGCTCTCACATATTTTTAATATGTCCAAAATGTTTATTTTGAGTGGTTGTAAATCAATATAAAAAGCTCTATTTGCTTTTTCTTTGCTAAAAGTTGCAGTTAGCATATCCAATAGGATGTTTCTGAGATTTGATATTTTACTATTCCCTCTTACTCTCCTACATATTGTACTTCTTCTTTACCATGTTTTCAGACTTTATAAAAGACAAAAATAAACCTAATTTAGTAGTTTTATTTCTTCTCTATTAGTGTTCCCCACCTATAACAATGTTTTCATTACAACAGAAATCTATTTGATGGTGATTTAGAAATAATTTTATAAACCTTGAGAAGTAATGCATAAAATATCTTTCTATTTAAATTCATTTGGGAAATGCTTGATAGAGGATTTGAGACATTTTTTAATGAAATTCCACAGTGTTTTCACTGCACAGTGGAAGAAATATTCACCATTTAGTTCAGACATTCATGATTGGTTATTGTTTACCTGTGTGAGAACTAAAATCCATCTGCCTGGTGGTGATTAATGCCATTCTGGAAATGACCACCACCACTTTTGGATGCTCGAGCATCAGTGCCCCCTTCTCTATCTTCCTATCAGTATTCCTTTGTCTTGAAGGGATGTTTAACATGGTCCAGACTGACACTCCCTCAAATTTGGGGTTTCTAGCCTGTGAGTCCACATGGATGGGCTTTTGTTCTTTTCAGATAGCAAAAGCCCTGAAACCCATGCTGTTCCCCAAGTCAGTCTGATCATGTCCCCTCTTCCTCTCTTCTTCCTGAAGCTCCCTCTTTTCAGTGAGATATATTCTTTGGTAAGATTGCAGGGAAATGAGGCTTTGTTTCCCTTTCATCATCTAGCACTCGACTAGAGGAGGGAAATTGAGGCCTTCAGGTGTGATCCTTAGAGATTTTGGAGCTACTATAAGGAAGAAGAAGTGTGGGGGGTTGAGCGGGTGTCTACTTCTTTAGAATGATGTCTGGAAAATTGCAAGTGAAATACCATCTTGGCCAAGGAATGGTTCTGAAGCACTGCAAGGCTCTCTGGCATAATTCTCCAGACCCAAGGTATCAGAAAGGTCTTCTAAGATTAAATGATCAAGAGTCTTAGCAACTGAAGGTGCTTCTTCAGTGATGAGTGTTGTTCAGTTGGTATTCCCAACACACTTGGAGTTTTTTGAAATAGAATTAAGAGATCCTTTTTCGTCTCTGCCCTCTGCAAACCAAGTACTTTTTAAGTCAAGGAAAAGTTTAACACGGATGAATATTTTCCAGGGCATTTATTAACGCTCTTCCTTCCATCTTCTCCTTTAGAAAAAACAGCTTTGTACATTGGGATAGGTAGTATCTCAGACAGCTTACTGAAGTTATTTGCATTAATTAGCTGTGTGATATGTGGAGTTAAGTAACTTTTAAAAAAATTTTATGTTGAAGGAGTATCCGCAGAGCAACATATACCGAGTGCCTCCTAATTACTCGCCCATCTCCTCCCAAATGATGCACCATCCACAGTCCACCTTGTGGGGTTACAACCTTGTGGGCCAGCCCCAGCAGCCTGGCTTTTTCCTTCAGAATCAATCTCTTACTCCAGGTATGTGACAAGAAAGCACAGATTACTCAGGGATGAGAAAGAGCGTGTGGTTCTCTTTGCTTTTAACCTGAAACCTCCACAAAACTTGGACATTTCAGGAACTAAGTGCTCAGCTGACATTTCTGTAATTCCCTTCACACAGATTTTTTTTTTTTCCTAAAATAAGGTTAAATTACCAGTTTATGTATTGATTTTGGGACTTTCATTCAGTGTTAAAGGAAATTAGCTACTGATTAAAACTAAGCTATAAGATATAAAAGTTGATAAAGATTTTGTGTTGTAAAATTTGTATTTTTTGGTCAGCTATAATTCTCACTAGCACAGTGTTGCACAGTCTCTTTTATTGTTCCTAATTATCATGGCAACTAAGAAAATTGGTTCAGCAAGATTTAGATAACAAGGAAAACTACCATAGTAAATGTTCCTGAATTTAGTATTGCTATGGTTTGAGCCCAAGTAGATTTCTCGTCCCAAATCAAGATTGTCTAAATGAAGACATCTCTTAATTAGGAATGAATTCAGTTTTCTTTCTGTATGAAACATTGCATGTTTAAGCATATTTAAATTATTTGAAATCTGTTAGCATTGTTAAGATGTGCCATTTTAACAAATAATTTTTTTAAATTGTGATTTTTATTATAACTTGAATGTGACATTTGGAGGTCTGTGGAAGAAAATGTTTTATTTGTGGCTTATAGCAGGGGAAAATCCTATTTTATCTTCTAAATTAGTGGTTAAAGGAACTGGTCTGATAGTTAAGAGTTTTAGGTTCAAATCTGGTTCTGCCACTCTCTTGCTATATAATATTGGCCAAATCTTAATTTTTCTATGCCTCATTTTCATCATCTGTAAAATGAATATGCTAGTATCTATTCCCATAGGGTGGGGGATTCAGTTATTTCTTCAAGATTGTATGAGCTTCATGATATACTGGACCCCGTTTTGGATGCTAGGATATTACAGTGAATAAAATATGCATAATACCTACTTTTTAAAAGATGAAATATAAAGTTTATGTTACACACACATACATATGTAAGATTTAAAAGTAAATTTTACTAATTATCTAGCCTTTTGAAGGTAGCCTGACCCCAGACATGTTCAATAAGTGATCTTCACACGTTCCTAGCTCAGGGCATTTGCACTTGCTGGCCCCTGTCCTACGGTGCTCTCCCTCAGATATCTACATGACGTCCTGCCTGTCTCCACTGGGCTTGGTCACAGATTACTTTCTCACTGAGACCTTCGCTAACCACCCTGTCTTAAACTGTAAACCCACACCCCTTCCCTTTACCCTCTGTTTCTCTCTTTTTTCTGTTTCTCTGTTGCAGGGATGTCCAATCTTTTGGCTTCTTTGGGCCACATTGGAAGAAGAATTGTCTTGGGCCACACATAAAATACACTAAAAATAGGTGATGAACGACAAACAAACAAAAAAAGCACAAAACTCATCATGCTTTAAGAATGTTTACGAATTTTTGTTGGGCTGCATTCAAAGTCACCCTGGGCCACATGCAGCCCACAGGCCCTGAGTTGGACAAGCTTGCTCTACAGCATCAGACTTGCTTGTATCTTTACTTTCTTATTGATTTATTATCTTACCAGAATATAAGCCTCATGGCAGATATTTTTTTCTGTTATGTGCACTGCAGTATCACCAGAAATTAGAAGAACCTCTGGCTTTATAGTAGACCCTTAAGAATAGATTGTTGAGTGAATGAATGTAGACTGCAAAGAGCAAACTAGACTCAGTGTGGAAAAGAATAATGCAATCATCTTTTTAAACTTCCTCTTTTTAATCCCAAGGTCCTTGTGAATTTTTGGCTGTTTTAAACTTTGGAGATCTAGAACTTTCTTTGTAGATACTGACACACAAGGACTGTCTGTGAATTGAAAGCTAACTACTTTATAAAAGCACATAATCTCTCCCTGTAGAATACTATAGAAAGGTTTTTATAAATTGAGGAACTTTAGGTATGAGATGGCATTTAAAAAATACATTTTGGGCTGGGCACAGTAGTTCATGCCTGTAATCCCAGCACTTTGGGAGGTCGAAGCGGGCAGATCACCTGAGGTCAGGAGTTCAAGACCAGCCTGGCCAATGGTGAAGCCCCCTATCTACTAAAAATGCGAAAACAAAATTAGCCAGGCATTACTGTGGGTGTCTGAAATCCCAGCTTCTTGGGAGGCTAAGGGAGAATCACTTGAACCTGGGAGGCGAAGGTTGCTTGAGCCGAGATCATGTCGTTGTACTCCAGCCTGGGTGACAGAGTGAGACTCCATCTCAAAAAAAAAAAAAAAGTAAAAATTAATAAATTAATTTGGAAAAAAATTATTATTGAGAATTTTAAATGAGTGAATTTATTTTCATTTAAAAAAGCATCATCTAAAGTTGCAGAACAGTATGTACAGCATGACAGCATGATTCCATCCATATACGTTTTAAATGCAGAACAGTCCCCCTCTATTACTCACATACAAATACATAGGTATCTTTCCTAATCTTTCTTATATATACACAGCAGTATGATAAAGTTATAAGAAAATGCATAGGATAATAAACTCCAAATTCAGAATAGCATTTGGTAGGAGTAAGTGAGGAAAGTAATTAGGTATACAAAGAGCTTCAGCCGTATTTTGTTTCATTAGTTTCTCAGAGGTACAAGATCATAGAGTTAGGAAAATTTTTAAAAAGTAGATTATATTTTAATCTTTAAAGAGAATTTTTCCTTTCTATGAATGAGTCTGTTTTTACATACTAATATATGTAATTTTTAACACATAATATATGTTCTGATTGTTGCTTCAACAAAAGTTACCCTGCCATGTGTTACTTAGATTGATCTTTCGTTTTTGCAAATGTTCGTCAAATGCTGCTGAATAACTTTGTAAATAAAAGAAAATGACTGAGACAAATCTCAGTCATTTTAGAGGTTTATTGTGCCAAGGTTGAGGACATGCCTGGGAAAAAGGAACACAATTATCACAGGAATAGCTGTGCTTTTTCCACAGAGGGTTTGGGGACTTGAGTATTTGAAGGGGAAAGAGTAGCCAGTAGGAGAAAGAAGAAAGAAAAGGAAGGGGAAAGTAGATAAAAGGAGTAAGCAGTTTCATTCTTTGGAGGCTTTGATCAGCATTCCCTGAATCTACATTGTACAGCAGGTTAAAGGTTTAGTTATGGTGGTGAATCTGCATTTTAACATAAGATTAAGTAAACATAGAGTAGAGGAAGAGGTCAAATACGTGTTTGTCTCTGTTAAGTGGAGGGAAGACATCTAGTTCTGTCCTGCTTCCCCACACTGCCCCCATCCCACCATAAAGATAAACTGTTATTTTTAGGGTAAATCTCTTGGAGACCATGAGGAATTTCCTTGTGAGCAAATAATGAGGGAGGTCCCCTGGGGAGGTATGTAGCCTTCTGTCTTTCAGCTATCTATTTAGGAAACAAAATGAGAGATTGTTTTGCATGACTCAGTTCCCAACATTGACTTTTACCTTTGTCACAGTGAGTTTGGCGTCTCAACATTTTTAGTTTCCTTTCACAACTTCATAAATTGTATTGCTGATTGTCATACTGAGTCTTTAAAAAAAATGTGGGTTTGTCAAAAATGAAAACAGCTTTATAATGTTTGTTTTCATCATACAGCTTGCTTTATACAAAAGATGAAACAACATTTGTGAGGGGCTTATGTAGAGGTTTTTTTCATTTATATGTATCAAAGACTGTTTTTGGCAAATGAAGAATTGACATTTATTGTGAAGGCAGCAAATGTTGACCTTTTTATCCCTAACTTTTAAAGGCATATGACAAATTAAATATACAAATATGTTAAGGCTTCCTGTGGTTTCTTTAGCATCAATATAATAGTTGTTTGTTTGATTTTTAGCCTTCAAAAAACATGTGTTCTGTCATTACCGTTATGGTATTTGAAGTTTGCAAGCATTTCAAGATTTTAAAGTATTGTCATGCTCTGCTACAAAACAGACGTTTTCCTTTTGCCCTGGTGAAAAGGCGTCAATGACATGAGCTTCAGATTTGATGAAAAGTACGAAAGGACTTATATGGATGGCTTAAGAACTTGGCAAAATGCATCACAAAGGCAATGTGTTTTATACAAGTAATATGTTCCTGAGGGCCTTGCCTAATTTAAAACCCATGTAATTATGAAATTATGCCAACAACTGTGTGTTTTACTCATTTCAATTTATGAACTGAAGACCTCCATGAAGTTACGTCAAAGTAGTATAATTCACTCCTACATCACTCCTGCATCTTTTGTAAATTACTCAGTAGGCCTTCAATGTTTGTGGCAAGTGGGACAGTGCATTGTTTTCCACTTTGCTCATAAAGTGAGACTTAGAAGGTGAAAACTTCCGTGTTTCGATAAAATACGAAGACCTGTTACATTAACATAGTTAGAAAGCCTTTCCTTTTGGTTGCTTTCATAGGTGGCTCCAGGTTGGACCCTGCAGGCTCCTTTGTCCCAACCAACACCAAACAAGCTCTGTCCAACATGCTACAGCGACGCTCAGGTGCCATGATGCAGCCGCCTTCTCTTCATGCAATCACATCACAGCAGCAGTTGATACAGATGAAGCTTCTCCAGCAGCAGCAGCAACAGCGGCTTCTCAGGCAAGCCCAGACTCGGCCTTTCCAACAGGTTTGTCCAGACCCAGCAATGGAGTCCTTTGCATTTCATTACCTCCGCTAGCTTGGGATGAGTTTGGGGTATGTGGCATATTCTTCCTGTGTTCATATCCCTATATCTTTGTGTGAGTGCAGATGTCTCTCTCTCTCTCTCTGTTACAGGCTTATAAATACCTCTGTTGTATTTTACTGTTATCATTGATCAAATAAGAATTTGGTATGTCTTAGGTTTATTAAAAGCATGCCTCAAAACAAAAAGAAGGGCTGATAACTTTCTGGTTAATTAGAAGAGGCAGGCCTTTTATCCTTGAGGTGACCTTCTCTGAGTGCTCATTTTCTATTATAATTACCACCATATTCTGTACTACCTTTACCTCTTGTTTCAGATATTATTTTTAAACTTATTACTGTGAGGGAGCCCTGATGTTTCTTAGGTTTTCTCCGATAGTGCCCTGCCTTTACTCTTTAAGTGTATATTTAATAAAGCCTAGAGCAGATAATACATTATAAACAACAGTCAGGATCTGAATGCATACAATTTAATTTTTGATTTTTATTTCTATTTTTGTGCCCTGTAACCCAATTTTCTTTATAAAAGACAGTAATCATGTTTAAGAAAACATCAGCATTTAGTATAAACTCCTGAAAACCTATGCGTCTTTATAAATACATTAAAGTGTAAGGTGAGAATGGAGATTTCTTTTTCTGGTTTCTGTATAGTTGTATTTTCTAGCTTTTCTGAAATGGTTATGCACTATTTTAGATAATAATAGCTAACACGAATGGAGCACTTACTATATGCCAAAACATTTCTAGGCATTTTAAATGTATTAGCTATCTTAGATCCCAGGGTAACTCTATGAATAAGGTACTTTCCTGATCCTCAAATGGAAATAGTCAATCTATAAGGGTATCCTGCTCTGAGAAAAACCACAGTGTTTTCAACATAGCAAGAAATTCAAATGCTTTAAAAAATATTCTTTGTCTTTTGGATAACTTTCTAGGCATATCTCCATTGCGTAACTTACAGCAGTCCTGCGTTTGGGCCACTTAGTGATTTTGGTGTGTGGTGATGGTGAGATTAGTCATTCATTCTTAAAAATGGTTCTTTTTTTTACCTAAATTATAAGGACAAGAGAGAAGAAACTAATTGAACTGTGTGATAATGCAGGCAACAGTCATCACGTACTTGTCTCTCCCTGACCTCTAGCAATTGCTTTAGCTCCCTGAGTGTCAGAAAAGATGGGCCTAAGCTGCTGTTTGTGCATAAATGACGAAAACATTGATTAAAATATCAAATTAATTTGCCTAAATAAGCAACATGTTTGGAGCCATTTAAAACCACATTGGGATTTTTAGCTCTTTTTGGGAATGAGCAAAAATAGAATTATACTATTGCTTCAGATCATTTTTGAGTTAAAAAATTTCACTAGCAGTTTAAAAACCGTCCCACAAGAATGAATTTAGCCTTCTTTTAAAGTGATAAAGCCTAGGGCCAGATGCGGTAGCTTATGCCTATAATCCTAGCACTTTGGGAGGCTGAGGTGGGTGGATCACTTGAGGCAAGGAGTTCAAGATCAGCCTAGCCAACATGGTAAAACCTTGCCTCTACTTAAAAAGAAAAAAAAAAAATACAAAAAATTAGTCAAGCATGGTGGAGCATGCCTGTAGTCCCAGCTACTTTGGAGGCTGAGGCAGGGGAATCGCTCGAACCCGGGAGGTGGAGGTTGCAGTGTGCTGGGATCACACCACTGCACTCCAGCCTGGGCTACAGAGTGAGACATCATCTCAAGAAAAATAAATAAATTAAGTAAGTAAAGTAAAACTTGCCACTTTATTTTTTCATATCTACTTTTTTATCACAAGGCCTAGTTTTTCCTATTTATAGCCCACTTTCAAACTGTTACTGCCAAATTTAGCTTTGAATTACTGTTAAGTGGTTCCTAGCATTGAGGGAAAGCCCACTGGATCATTTATGGGTAAAATACACCTGTCCTTAAAAGGTTCACTTCCCGATAGAAGCCATGACAAAGCATTTCAGCAAGGATTTAAATGAATAATCGACATGTAACCAAAGATATCCTTGCATATTTGGAGAAGTGTACCCAGGTGACACTATCGCTTTGCTTTCTCCTACCTTGAAAGTACCTGGCTCTGTACTTCTGTACCACCTGTTGTTGCACTGCTTGTACCAATGGGAATTAATTGTTAGTTCATTCTTTTTCTGATTCTTTTGTGCTAATTCCATCACAGTGCTGGATTTTTTCTTTATTCTTCTGTTTTTAAACTTTTAAGACCAGAAATGCCTTCTTCAAATAGTAAAAGCTCAACTGCGTAACTGTGATTGTACAGTATTCAACTCCTTGTCTCAGACTCAATTCAGATTGTTTTTAAGTGTTGAAACTTAACTTTGGAGTCTCTGAAGGGCTTTCACAAGTAGGATATGTCTTTTTCTCTCTTATCTTTCTTCAAGTGTTAGATAATTGAGGAAAATAGTATTCTTAAGGGAAGATAAATGCATACATTATACAGTCACAGGTACAGTGATCCTGTAATACATGGAGCTAATGAGATTTGCATGTAACATCTGCCATAGTACATCTACTTAGGAGGGTCTGAGGAAATGTTAGTGCCTTTCTTCTCTCTTAGTAGATCATGTATAAACGATTAATATACCTGGAATTTAGCTAAATGCTGTGTTATGGCAGAAAAAATTTCTCCTTGTGATAATCCTTCAAAATCTAGAGACAGAATTATATGGAATGTAAACAACATTGATCAATTGTCTATGTTACTGGGCATAACTATTTGCTTTTCTAGTAAGTACTGACCGTTTCATGGTATGGCAGGAAAATTTTCTCAGGTCACTCACCTACATATGATATGAATTTCTCTAGATACGTAACAATTAGTAATATAGTTATTTTTTCATTTTTTGGTTTCTTATAGAGAAAAGTAAGTAGATATATTTTTACCCATAACCTAGTAATTTTCTTATTTCAGAGGTCCATTTTCTTAAACATAACAAACATATTAGAGAATTTCCATTTATCATAACCTTCGAAACTGATTTTGGAACTCAGCAGGTGCTTTTACAGGTTGATGAGTTTCTCCAGATTTTGGATGTGACTGCTTCCTAGGACAGTTGTCTAGTAACCCATTGGTTACCCCTTTTTCTTAGGAGGTCATACACTAGGATGTATACTATTTTGTATCATCCTTTCATCTGCTAAGCACACGGCACAAATCTGTGAGCTGTGTATCAAATAAATAATGCAAGATTTGAGCAGTGGTTTTCAGGAGGCTAAAGTTTCTTAGTAGCCTTAATTCTCAGCAGTCTGCTTTCTATCCACACACCCATCCCATAGCTTTCTTTCCCAGTGCTTCCAGAAACTGACCCTTCCAGTGATGTCTGCTATGGTTGGTTTGGAAACCTAAATGGAAAAGGTAAACATAAATTCCTGAACTCTGGTTATGTCTAAGACCTTACATAGTCCCCTTACTCTCTTCCCTTCTAGTTGGGAGAAATTGGCATATGCAGAAACCATCCGGCCTTCAATGATACATAGTGAAAACTAGAATTCCATAAATAACCCTCTAGTTCCACTGCAGAGATCATACATGAGCTTCAGTCAGTCATGGAATTTTCTGTCGTGGATTGTTTTTTATTTCTCCAGGAATGTGTTAAGACAGTGTTTAACACAGTACCTAGACAAGAAGTGCTAAATGGCATGGATATTAAGTATTCTTAATGAGATTATTTGATGTAATGATTGTTATAATTGAGTATATTTTCCTATAGCTTTAGTGCATATGGACATGCAGAAAGATGTTTTGGCAAGAAACCTGTTTTCATTATTCTTAGTTACAGTCTTCATCTAGGAAAGTACAGTAGTCCCATCACCCTGCTTACCCACAGGGAATATGTTCCAAGACCTTCAGTGGTTGCTGAAACTATAGAGAACCAAACCTGATATGGACCATGTTTTTTCCTATGTATAGGTAACTATATGATAAAGTTCAATTGATAAATTAGGCTCAGTAAGATAATAACAATAACTAATAGTAAAATAAAACAATTATAATAATATACTATAACAAACATGTAAATGTCGTCTTTTTCAAAATCCCTTATTGTGCTATACTCACCTGTTTTTGGCCTGTGGTTTTCTATAGGTAATTGAAACTGTGGGAAGTGAAACCACAGAGAAGTGGTGACTACCGTAAAAAACAAAATGAAACTAAATCCATTTCTGTTTCTTATCTAATGTCCTATATTTAGATGGTACTCAGGATAGTGGTTACACTGCCTTTCTGTGCCTCAGAGTATCATCTATAAAATGGAGCTAATACAAAATTGTACTTAGTTTATAGGGTAGTTGTAAAGTTAATGGTTTAGTATGTGTAAAATGGCCCTTAGAACAGCCCTTAGAGGATGGCTCATAGTAAGTGCTCAAAAAGTGTTAGCTGTCATACTTATTGTTGCTGCTTATTAGTATTTTTATGGTTTATTTGAAAAGAAATTCAATTCCCATAAAAATATTATTTTCTTAAATATGTTAAGCTTTAAAATAAAAGCATATCAAATGATTTACTTGTACAATTACATAAATTGCCATTAATAGGATTGATTTAATCCTCATTTGCTTAGTGGTCACTGATAGAACAAACTCATAAAAAGGAATGTTGTTTTCTTATCCTAATTGTCATTTTAGCTTCTTGGAGTGGTGTGTTTTTGTTCTTTAAATTCTGTGATACTTGAGAGGCTTATTCCAATTTCAGTGTTAAAAGTATCACTTTATTTTATTTTTCACATATTCTGTTAGAACTATCACAGAATATAGAATATTGATTATAATATAATATAACCAATATTTAATTATTTCACACTTAATCCTTTCTTATTATACTTGGTATTTTTCTTTTGACAGCAGGAACTTTCTTTCATCTCACCTCACCATACCCGGTACCATATCAATCATCCAGTGAAGGGGCTTACAGAAGGAATCTTAA